AGGGAATAAGGTAACTATGAAAAGTTTATGGAGATTCGCTAACGAAGGGATTTTCCCAATGAGCTTATTGCCTCCAAGTTGGAGTACTCTTAGATTGGTGGCGTTGGATATCGACAAAGGAATTGATCCGGCAAACTGGTTATAAAAAATGCTCAAAATTTGAAGTTCGGGAGAGTGAATCCTATATCTTCGGGAAGATTGCCACGGATCTGGTTCATAAATTGCAATCAGCAAAAACAAGTTGAAGACTGAAGACGGAATGGTACCTGAAAGCCCCTTGCTTCGCAAGGCGAGCACTGTTAGTTTGCTTAATCGACCTAGAGATTGGGGAATAATCTCACTCGAACTATTTTCGTTACAAAATATCCCCTCTAGAGATCATAAGTTCCCCATGGATGATAGGATATTGCCAGTTAATTGGTTCACAATAAATCTCTGAGGGATTGAAGATTTGTCAAGGAGCCTAACTCCACTGGAATTCCTCCAACCAACTAGTTGAACGAGAGGCAGAGAAATATGAGGTTCGAGCAACTTGATATATTCTCGAGAATCTCACCATTCAGTGAATTATTGGATAAATCCAAGAATTGTAGCTGACCCAGCTGGTCAATTTGTGCAGCGATTCCAAGCTCGAAGCTATTACTTTGGAACCGTAGTTCTCTTAAGAAGCTAAGGTTCTCGATGCGAGGTGAGATAGAGCCCAAGACTCCATGGGAAGAGAGGTCCAGTACCGTGACTCTATGGAGTCGGCGACTGTACTTATCCCCATACCATCGGCAGAAGTCGATGCTATCGTTCCATGGGTTAAGCAACCCAAAAGGGTCACTACTTTTTTCAGCCTTGAATGCAAGCGTGTCTGTATCATTAAAAGCAGAAACGACTACACCAAAGCACGACACAAGAAAGGCAAGGAAACGAAGACAAGTACAATGGAGATGTGAATAATTGAGACGCGAATTTCCCATTTTATGAGCATAAAATTGGGTACTTATTCGCTTAGGGAGGGCAAGAAGGAATGGGTGAAGTTTATGTATTGGTAGAGCAGCTTGAGCTATAAATTAAACAATCTCACAGGGAAGGGCTTTTTATAGAAGCTATGTAGACCCTGAAAGAGTAACTTTTCGGTATGCATTCATCCCGCAAAGTTCATTCAAAGTATGACATGGCTTAATGGATATGTTTGGGCCTACATTGGTATTGCAACCCTCTTTTTCCATTAGAGGAAAGAGGAATGAGGTTTAGGGGTACTGCCTAAAAGGCGGATCAATGGCCCATCGATTTAGGCGCAGTCTCTTCCAAGATCATACCCCGCGCGACGTGGGTTTTTGTTTTTAGTTCTTTTATAACCTATGCAATTCTAGGAGTAGCCACTAGCCTATTGGGATCGGCTAGAAACCAACAAAAGACGCAAGAGTGTCGTCAAGATTCCTACGCAACTGGAAATTTCTAGGAACGGGGACTTGATTACACTAACGTTACTAAACTAACTTGAAAAGTTGTTATCTGAATGATCATGCAATCTTGATTACCAGCTATGATCCTAAGGTATCAAAGCCACTAAGTGAGCATACAAATGTTTTTGTGGGTGTGTTTTCTTATATGTTTAAACTAGTCCTAACCTAATCTAGAAAAGAAATTAACAAACAATCTATTGAGATGATGAAAATTAAACACCCAAGTATTTAAAAGCTCAAAATCAAAATGTACATGAAAACCCGATACTCGTCGGGTGAAAGGAATGATCCCCAGGAAGCTTGAAGCTAAAGACCAAACATGCAACCGAACATTCACATACATAATTAAATACGTAAGTTAAACATGCGACCTAATCAACGTGCGAACAAGCAAGGCCCTTATTATACTAAAAATGCAAGACACGGCAAAACCTAACCAAATTTCTACATTTTTTTAATTTTCGAAAATTTTTAATTTTTAATAATAATTAAATTTTTACAAAAATAATTTTTAATATTAAAATAATATTATTATATTATATAAACGGATCTGGGTCGGACCTCCGCCTCCGACCTGGGTCAAGACCGACCCGGGCCAACTGGGCTGGGCTCAGCGAATGAGCCCAGTTCGGTAACACCCAAGACAAAAATAAAAAGAAAACAAAGCCCAGCCTAAAACCTATTATAAACCTACTAAGTCCACTATGCCTAAACCAGCCCACTAAAAAGAAAACAGATTCGGCGACAGACGAAGAACACGAAACCAGATCTCATTGAGACATTTTATCGAACAGGTGGAGTGCGCCACTGGACCGCGAGATTTCCGGCTCAGCCGAGACTCAACCGCGGGTCGGGACTCTCGAAATACGACGTACACGGACTCGGGACCAAAGCACAGGGGCGACGCGAGCCGGACGGCCGCGAGCTCCCGCCCAGCGTGCCCGAAAGCAGGACAGAACAGCGGGTCCTCAGCAACGAGAGAAAAAAAAAACAGGGGCGGTCACGGCGTCGCTCCCTACCCGGCGCGGCAGCGGCGAATGGGGGGCGAGCTCGATAGGTCGAACCACGTCTGGTCGCCTCGCACGCCTCAAAGCCGGGATCCTCGGGGAAATCGACCAACCCAATGGAAAACCGAAAATCAAAGAAAAACTCAAAATTGAGGCTTACCTTGACTTGGCGTGGAATAAAGAAAGGTGTCGATGAGTCCGTTTTTCGGCGTCCCTCCAGAGCAAGAATTTCACCAAATAATTGTGGTGTATGACAATTGTCAAACTATGTTTATGTTAAAAGCCTCCGCCACCAAAAAAAAAAAAAAAAACCAACCTTGATCGTGTCCACACGATTTGTTAAAAGGGCATGTTTGTTTTCGACTTAACTAGAAGCAAAAGGTACTATTTTTAATTTCTCACCAAAATATAATAATACTATTCGAAGTCTAAAGAATCTATTGAAAAAACTCTATCTATGTATCATCTTTTGTATTTTCAAAAGTTTAAGTAAGAGACCGTTTAATTACGGGTACATGAACATGATTTTTGTTTTTTAAAGTAAAAAAATAATTTTTCGCATGCAAATACCGTTTGATGATCACATATAAAATCAATTATCTCAAAATAAAAACAATATATAAACTTGAAAACAAAATTATTTTTTTCATAATCAAAAGAGCGATTCTTTTTATTACGACGTCTAATATTAAATTAAAGGGGGGAAATTGCATTTTTCTTCTTCTTCTTCGCAGCAAAATCAATTTAATTCCATAAAACTATCTTCACAGGTGTCTCGGTCTCTCTCTTTTTTTTATTCCAAACTCATCTTGTAAGTGATAGATTTATATATTTACCAAAGTATGTGAATTCACCTGGATTCTAACATGCATTACGCTAAAATTCACCTGATTGCACTAATTGATTGAATTTTCACCATTTTATCTTATACTTCAATTATATAAATAATGAATAATATTTGTACGCTCATCGAACCTTTTCAAATTTGAATTTGACACGTCAGTTAGTGAAATTGGCGTCTCTTTGGCGCCATCGCTAGTGCATATCTGTACTCAGTGCTGTCTCTTTCAAGAACTTGAGCGCGCTTCATTCAGTCATTTAGCGGTTACAGCTGAATGATGCGTTCCGTGGTTTTGTTGGGAGATTGGTGATTTTATTTTATTTTTTTAATAATCCCTGGACTGGAGATTCTCATTGTCAATGTCCCTGTGATCCAGAGGGCTCCAAAATGTCCAGTTCTTACTCTGTCTGTCTCAGCTCAGGGCTCTGTGGACGAAGGAGTTGGAGATTCTGGTTCGATATCGGAAATTTAATCTCATGTTTTCACTAGATCTGAGATTCACAACGTAGTATTGCTGCACATAAATTTCTAAGGAAAAGCACCTTTGTTTGATGACTTTCCATTTTTGTTCATCGTATAACACATGATATGAACGTATGTACAGTTTGAAGATGGAGGGATACTTTCAGTACATGAAGAATCTGCGATATCAAACGAATGGTACATCTCTACCCCCTGTCATTCTCTTGAAGTAAAGCATGCACACCTATGTGAAAAAATGTTGCTGAATTGCAATTGTGTATCGAAAGATGTGGAGGATCAGGCGGCCAAGATCTCGGTCGAAGAGCAGATGCAGATTACTACCATTCGTTCTCTGGAAAGCGACCTCACTTCTGGTTCGGTGTCTCCCTATTAGTCTCTACTTCTTCTCTCGGACACATGAGCACGCGCAGGCAAACATGATTAGGAAATGATAGATGTATCTGTAATTCCTGCATTAGTTTCTCCCCGTCTATTTGTCTTCACTTACGGTATCTTACCTGTTTCCTAGTGGATCCACCAATGACTATGACCTTTCTTAATAATACCATCGGTTATAGATGACGATCGTTTTTACTGGTGCTTACTTCATACACTTTTGCTTATCTACTTGTGGATTACATACTAAAAACGCTATAAGTTTCTGCAAGAGCTCAGTGTAGTATGTAATGGTTTCTCTAAACTCATTGGCTATGTTAGCATTGGATAATTAAATTCAAGCCAGAATATTCATGCAAAGCTTTTCATGAGTGAATGCTTCATTTTTAATTAAGTACATTATTTAAACTCTCCATATTAGTCGTTCTTGGCTAGTACTAATTACACTAAATGTCAGTGTTTTTCCAACCCTAAGTTGGTGTTCTACATGTCCCTATCGTTAGATGGGATATGTAGACCTTGTTCTAGGTGTGAGGTACCTTTCATGAGAATACTTCATCTGCTTGTTGTGGTGATTTGAGAGCTGCGTGATGATTCTTGATCTCGTGTGTGATGATTACGGTAACTATTTGAATTTAAGCTTTACTTTACTTCTATATCTCCTCAAAAGTATTTACCCAATCAATTCGTGCAAGTTATCGTTAGTTTGGCTAATATCTTTTGATCCTTGTATTTCAATCATGATTGCTTTCGGGTAATTTTGTTGTGTAAGCTACTGTATAGAATTGTTGAAAGCAAACAATCTTTTCCTTTTCTTAAAGTACTTAACTTCCTTTTCTCTTTAAAAACATCGTTTGTCCAGCGAATTTCGAAATTCAGAAACTTAAAGAAGAAACAGAGCAGATGATGACTGCAGGAGGTCAAATATGCTCTCAGATATTGGACAAACAGAGAAAGGGCGCTTCCTTGGAATCTGATTGTCGCACATTGACACAGGTAGAGGTCCTCCTTATTTATATATGTGTAATTTAATTGATAGCGACGGGTTACATGAACTCCATCAAAAGAGAGGAAAAGAAGAACACGATCACCTGTTGGGTTCTGAAGAAGGAAGCGATCTGCAGCATTATATCCAATAGACTGAACTGTGATATCTGTCCTTCGCAGTGATCCCGTGATAAGATGCTGTTCTACTTGCCTTACTAGTTAAATCCAGAGATAAATTTCTTGCCGAGATGTAACGGATGGAACTTGGAAGAATCTTTTGCACCATTCCATCTCGTTGAAACTCAACTAAGCACCCTATTCAACAAAAATAGTATGCTGTGTTCTCCATTCCTTGAATAATATTTTCCTTTTCAAGTTACAGGCTGATTGTCTCTCTATTGGTTGATTGATCTTTTGCTTGTATTAATGTGAATAATTTGTTGATGCTGCTAGCTTCGTGATATCTTAAAGAAAATCTGACTTGGAGTTCAGGTTCATGCCTTGGTCCACTCTGAGATAGAAAGATACCAGATTAAGAGAAGCATTGAACTGTATTGTTTGTACCAATTATTTTTTGTGTAATGGCTTTTCTGATAATCAGGTTAGTCCATGAAAGCACTGTACTATGTCGTGGGAATGGAGATGATCGGGCATCTCAAAATAATTCTGAAGAGTCAGACACTGTATGAGAAACAAATATATCACCAAAGGTTGCGGAGAATAGTCTCAAGCTCACAGTGTAACTGCTTTGGATGGCTAGTGCATAGCTTGGAACGTTGAGCAGAACTCTAAGGTCAACACGAATTTTGGATTTGGATCACCAGTAGAAAGTGAGGATGGAGGGGAAGTTGGAAAGGTTTCAAATTTGGCTTTCAATTTACCAGACATAGATGTTTATCTGATACAAGCTGAAAAGCTAAAAGACAATCAGAGCAGCAATGAAATTCATATCTTTTTCCTGGAGCCTTTTCAGAGTTCCCTGGAGACAAATTTCATGTGCTAATGTGCTATTTGTTTTGATAATTGGCTGTTGAAGCAGCTAATACCCGAATAGGTATTATCCCAAAATGTGTCAAGATAGGTAATTTTTCAATCATTTCTGTGTTGATTTTCAAGTTTGTCCATGTGGATCTGGCTGAGCAATAAATTTTGATTTGGACACTTTCACATTCAATTGTGTTATATTTTGACACTTTATATGCTGGAGTGTGAGGGTTTCTAAACTTATAAATAACTAAGCCACATGATCGATTATGCTTAATAAAAAAATTTGGGAAATATATCTTACCTTGAATATTTGTTGGAGTTCTGTGCAGGCTTTGGAGCTAGTTCACCAAGAAAGAGTCAGGTTATCGGCCAAACTAGTTGAGAAAAGGTTACTGGCCTGTTCTCAAGTATCTAAATTTGTTAGTGTCCATGAACCCAAAAAGATGCTGTGTTCTTCAACTCTTCACTGAATTTCTTGGACTTTCAGCACTTACTATGCCAAGGTTGCTGAGGATATAGCTGTCAAATTCCAGCAGCTAAAGTAAGATTTCTCAAGTTTTGACCTCTCAACTTCAGAATGTCCACCAAGCTGCTGACAGTCTTTTTATCCTGTTCTTTTAGGGATGGCTTCACTGTCGCATACCAAACCCAGACAAAGGAGTGCGTGACTTGGTACTCCGTTTTGTTTGTTCTACCTCTGGACTTGCTCTTACCATTAGATTTAAATTTGTCATATTGAGGAGGATCATCCTTTGTTGTGCTCCAACCATATATGTACTTTTAAATACACGCCCTCACAATCACGCACAATCATCTTGGTTTGCATTGCTTCAGTCACTTTTTTCCCTCTTGTAGTTCCTCAATATTAGTCTTTGGAAGGCTGAACTTTTTTTATTTTGTGAACTGAAGGCTGAATTTAATGATGGGAACTCTACTATTAATTATATTATGGTTCCCCTCTAGGAAAGAGTTAGTTAATCACCTCGAATTCTCTTTTGTCTTTCTGTCTTGGATATTACCTTGCAGCCAAATGGTTAATATGCTTTTTACATCATAGCAGTGCTTTGCTAACCAGGATATTGGCAGGTCAAGGGAACATTTGACGAAGAAAAGGTTGCAGCTGGAGGTATGGGTATTTAACTTTTTCAAGTTTGAACTATAGACCAACGAAGGCATATGTTGCTGACATGTGATCGTCTTTAGAGTTTCTAATTTTATGTCGTCATGATCTATTGTGCTTTTTAACAGCATGACACCTATTTCTTCAGCATAGATCATCATTTGGCCATACACTTCAAACAAGAATAGTTTCATTTTTCTTTCCATTGGTATGAGTTTAGTTTGACAGATATATTATTGAGATAAGTCCGTCAATTCCCTTTAATAACTGCTGAATCTCTGTCGACGTTTCCTTATTTTTGCCGGAGCACTGTCAATGTACCCAGCAAGCCGAGGTTATCAGTAACCCAATTTTATCCGTCATGAAAGCCCTATTACTAGTCTAGTCCTTAGTGTTGTTGGGCCATTTGTTGCTTCATCTGGTCATCGTAATCTGATGTTTCAACTTAAGGCAGGATCCACACCAGGAAAAACTCACCTACATATAAGTGCCAGTAAGCGGATACAATTAGGAGCCATGCTCCATGTACTGTGCACCGTGAGGTTATGTGTTACAAAAACTTCCATTGCGGTTTACTTTATCTGATATCTAATGCTGATACCTTTGTAGCAAGAGGCAAATCCAATCACCTGGTTATTGATAACATGGTACTCACCGACAAAAACTAAAATAAAAAAAATATGTTCATTGAACTGAGTAGTTACTTAAATTTAATGCTTGAACTTACAGAACAATGAAGCAAGCAAGGAACTGATCTTCAGTGTGGATTCTGCGACAGCAAAACTTGACGAGATTAAAAGAACAAAAGCTAACCTAGCTGCAGAAAATTCTGCAGTTAAGTAGTCCATATCTAAATTCCACAATGTGTTGATTTCAATTCTCTGGTTAAAATGATTTTCTCCATTTGTCAAAGCTTAAGAGTGGATATGTGATAATATGCACTATAATGCTCATCTTGGGAGATAAGCACCAGAAAATAGGGCATACCAACTCATGGTCCTGAATGAAGCACGATCCATTTTAATTTTATAATCTAGCAGAAATTGCCATGGAGCAGCTCGATTTAAATGACATGCCTAATTGCCTAAACTGATACCTCTAGGGGGGTTTTATCTTGGATCTTATATTTATGCTTCCAACTTTATTGGTTAATTTCACCTTTTGACACGAGTGTGATGTGTAATTTCTAATCACTTTGACTATAGAAGCCTTTATTGGTATGATGAAATATAGAAGCAAAGTTGTTAAGAGGCAACTAGACACTAGGAGTAAATATCCTCGATTTGCAGCTCATCATCATTTCTCCATGAACACTAATGGTTCTAGGGCAACTCCTATCATTGCAGATGAAGCAGCGAATTGAGCAAATGAAAAGCCAGTCAAATGAGTTCCATGTCAGTATTAACGCAATAGGTACTGTCAAGTACGTAGTATACTCAATCCACCACACCATGCAATACCTATGTAGAATGTCTGCATTTGGTTTCAATGAACCAAATCATTAAAGATGTAAGTAATTTGAAGTTCTATTAATGTGGTTCGGCTTATCTGCTCAACCTGGTTCTATAGTGGATCCTTGAAGTACAGGTCCAGGACTTTTTATTGATTTTACTTGGTTGTATTTATGTCTCAGCATCATTGTTTGCCGTGGTGCGATGCAGGAAGAGCTAAGGGCAATGGATGTTAAGACCTTTGAAAAGGAACAAAAAGCTCTTTTAGCAGATATCGTTGGGGAAACCGAGTTCCTGCAGTCTCTGCAGAATCAAATCGAGAAACTGAAGGTAAAATTATTCCAAAACTGTAATTTTCATTTAAAAAAAAAAGAAAGTGAAATGGGTGTTGACAATATCAATTTTGAGCAATGTGCTCTTGACTGGGGAGTGTACCCATAAAATGGGATTGGTTTCACTCTACTTCCAACCTTTGTTGTCTTCTAGAACTCGGAGATTGTTCTTCTATAGCATCTAGTTTTTTCTATGGATTTTACTGTTCTTCCACATATGCTGTCTCTACTGAAACGGATAATTATGTAACAAGCCCTTCTGTTTAGAAATTTTCTTTGCACCCTTATTCATATATATTGCCGGAATCACTTGTTTATCTGCTTTTAACAGGGAATATCACAGCTCGTGAAATGCACCTGTGGACAGGAGTACAAGATTGAGTTAGATGCTTGTGTATGAACAGGAAAAGAAAGCAGCCAGAACATCGGATAACATCGGATACTCATAAGTTTTAACTACTACCTAGCCTAGTAATATGATATCAAACTGGAATGACAAATCGCTCTAGGGGAATTTGCATCAATATAATAAAAAGTGAAAAAAAAGTAGGGAAAACTAATGAAAAACGGAGATCGAGTCAATTGTAGAGGCCACTGCCCAACCAAACAACTTGCTGCTTCATTGTAACCTCCATACTTAGTGACCATATTGAGCCGGAATACCTTCCAAACGTAACAAGGTCAGTAAGCCCTCAAGAAAAAGCTGCATAAACTGTTTCTCAAGCCATTTGGCTATTTTAGCTACTAATGCCATGGATTTCATTCAAATTCTGCCTTTTCCGTTGCACTAGTTGACCTCACAAGTAGAAGGATTAAACTCGAATTCTTTCAATTGTGATGTCAGCAAGTGACGCTTCGATCGCCTTTGGATACTGGACTAGCTCATGGACTTAGAAGGACGGAAACGAATACAAAACAGCAATTATATAAGCGGTTGGCAACGAGACCAATCAAATCCCAGAAATTCAAGCTTCAACATTCAACCTCTGAGGCAAACCGTTGCTTGTGGTCAGGACTAAAACAAGTATTTTGCTCAAATGCGATGTTTGAAGATTCACCTCAAATATCAGAATTGTTAATTGGAGGGACGCCACATTTATATAAAACCCATTGCAACTCAGTTTTTAAGCGGTGCGGATAGACCTTAACAAAGTTGCAACAAAACTTTTCAGAGTATTTGATATTTATCATTATTTTTCTGGTAGACCTACAAAGTACAAACCAGATTCAATCAACAGCGCCTGATGACACCCTTAGTAGCAATGGAACCATATAGAGAGCAGAGGCTTGTAGAGCTCAGAGGGGCACTTGTCCCATTTCGTGTATATTGAATCCGTAATTACAGGCCAATTTGGCTCATAATTTTGGCTTTGTATCCCATTAATTTGTCAAGAAATATCATTCTGACAAAAAAAATGTTAATAAGTGTGAATTGATGGCTAATCCTTTGAAGTAGGAATGTCGGGACGAATACTCTCTTAGATTCACAAGGAAATTAGGAAAGTCAGACATTCGTCCTTCCTTTTTCATTCGCAAATAGTACTACAGAGATTCATTATAGGAAATGAAGAACTTGCTACTTTCGATGCCATCTACTCGTGTCTCATCCTTCCAAGTAAAAAAGCTGCCAAAAGTTTCTTCCTGATCAAGTGCAGCTGGGTTGCAACTTTGTCGACGTTCATGCGCCTTCTAGGCTCCTCCACAGAGCAAGCGAGTCCAATACGATATATTGTTTCCAAGCATTCCTGAAATATGCAGTTTCTTTTGTGAAGCGCATCATGGGAACTGTCGTGGCTCTCTCCTATGTGAAGCACCACGGGATCGGTAATCTCCATAGCTCGTTGGGGTAGAGCCTCAGCAACATAATTATGAAGATTCAAATTATCTCTAAATATGTCGCTAGTGGGACTTAATCCCGTGAACATCTCTAATAAGAGGATGCCGTAACTATAGACATCACCTTCTCTTGAGACCTGCCTTCCGTTAGCATATTCTGCAGTTTACACATGTCGTGGCGTAAGAAATGTCAAAAACAAAAATTTGAATTTACAAAACAGTTTCTTGAAGAAATGATAAAACGAAAAACACTAGTCTTTATAAGGGCAAGTTGATAACGCCAGGGTCTTAGCTTTCTTGTGGGGGAAGGGGGAAGGAGATTACCGGGAGCTGCATAACCTATTGTTCCTCTTAAACCAGCAGAACTCGTATTTGCTCTAGTGTCAGATGTGGATTCGAGGACAATCTTCGCCAACCCAAAGTCACCAACATGTCCGACCATGTCAGCATCTAGAAGGACATTGTTTGGCTTTAGATCACAATGAATTACTGGGCTTTTGCATTGATTATGGAGATAATCTAATGCGGAAGCAACATCAATGGAAATGTTTATCCTTTGGACTAGACTCAATTTCTTGGAGTGCCTGTCTACATCATCTTGAACTGGATTTGGGTACAGCCACTCTTTTAGGCTGCCATTGACCATGAACTCATAAACTAAAGCCTTAAACTCATCACCCTTATAATCAATTCCTGAGCACGCCGTCAAGACTTTCAGAAGATTTCGGTGTTTTATACACTTCAGAGCCTCACACTCAGCTTTGAAGCTCTTGAAAGCGCCATGCCGCATTAAATTAAGCACCTTCACGGCAATGACATTTCCGTTCTCCCGGAGCAGCCCCTTGTAGACAGACCCAAAACTTCCAGCCCCAATTAGATTAGTCGAAGAAAAACCATCGGTTGCTTTTAGAAGTGTTTCATAAGACAGATTCGGTAATGAATTATTTGAGGAGCTTGAAATTGGCTTGCTTTTTTTCTCCTTCAACCAACATAGATATAGCAAAGTGACAAGGAGAATTATTCCGAGAAGATCAAAAACAACTGAAATGGTGAGTTTCAACTTATGGACTCCTCCTCTACTTTTGGAGTTTCGAGAGACGCACTGAGGGAGCTCAAATTCAGGCATTCCTCCACAGAGCTTTTCATTTCCGGCAACAAAAGATCGCACTCCCATTCCTAAAAACTCCTTGAGTTGGTAGCGGGCCTTCCAAATGATTGTAAGATAAATTCACCTTTACCAAAAACTGAAATGCCTCTAAGAACTTTGGAATTTCACCATAGAAATTATTGTTGGAAAGATCTAATTCCTCAATGCCTCTTAAAGAGCTAATTGATTGAGGAATGAACCCATGGAAGAGGTTATCTCGCATCCTTAGTACTGTCAGTCCATCACAATTGCCTAGACTGTTGGGGATTTCACCATCCATAATATTTCCCGAGACATCTAATGTGTCCAAATGTTTCAAGTTCCCAATTTCCATTGGAAGGACTCCACTCAGATTGTTCCGAGACAAAAGCAAATAGATGAGGTTCCTAGCCAAGGGCAATATAACCGGACCACTAAAACAGTTACTAGAAAGATCTAGAACTTCCAAGCTTTGATACTTAACTAGATATGAAGGAATTAGCCCTTCGAAGTTATTTCTTTCGATTTGTAAATCTAACAAATTCTGCAGAGTTTGCAAAGAGGATGGGATTATGCCAGATAGATTGTTGTCTGACGAGATCAATTTTGCAAGATTCGAAAGGTTTCCTAAATCTGACGGGATCGGACCGGAAAGATGGTTGTCCCCCATGTGTAATACCTGCAAGTTCACAAGATTAAAAATCTCCCTCGGGATCTTACCTCATATCAGATTATGGCCTGCTAACAGGATCATTAAAGTAGCGGAAATATTACCGATGCATAAAGGAAGCATCCCACCAAATCTATTGTCATTCATCGTCAATACCATCAAGTGAGGGGCATTTGTTAGTGAGCAAAGGAAGCTCAGCTCATCTACATCGGACCCTCCACTCCCGAGATAATTAGTGTCTAAGGTAACCTTTTGAAGGTTATGGAGATTCGCCAACGAAGGGACTTTTCCGGAGAGCTCATTGCCTCCAAATTGGAGCTTTTCTAGATTTGTGGCATTGGATATCGACAAAGGAATTGATCCAGCGAATTGGTTTTGAAAAATGCTCAAAACTTGAAGATTTGGGAGTGTGAATCCTATATCTTCCGGAAGATTGCCGCGGATCTGGTTCCCACAAACTCTAAATGTAGTCAGCAAAGACAGGTTGAAGATCGAAGGCGGAATGGTACCTGAAAGCCCGTTCATTTCCAAGTACAGCATCTCTAGCTTGGTCAGTCGACCTAGAGATTTGGGAATAATCCCACTCAAACAGTTGTAGGCCCAAAAAATGTCCTTCAAAGATGATAAGTTCCCTATGGATGAAGGGATGCTGCCAGTTAATTGGTTCGCATGAAAGCTGACCGCTTTTAGATTTGACAAGGAGCCTAGCTCCCCTGGAATTCCCCCAACCAATTGGTTGCCCTCGATGACGAGATGAATAAGGTTTGACCAACTTGATATAATCCTGGGAATCTCACCCATCAGTGAATTATTGGATAAATACAAGAATTTGAGCCGATGCAATCTGCCAATTTGTGGAGAGATTTCCAAACCGAAGCTATTGTTTTGGAGCGCCAGTATATTCAAGAAGCTGGGGTTCCCAATGTGAGGTGAGATGGATCCAGAGAGTCCTTGGGAAAGAAGGTACAGTACTGTGACTCTGTGGTGTCGACGACTGCATATAACCCCATACCATCGGCAGAAGTCGATGCTGTCATTCCAAGAGTTAAGCGACCCGAAAGGGTCACTAGTTATTTCAGCCTTGAATGCAAGTAATGCAAGCCTGTCTGTATCTTTAGTAGCACAAACTATGACAACGAAGCACGACACAAGGAAGGCAGCCAAAAGAAGACGAGCGAAGGAGTTGTGCACAAATGAGACGCAATTGTGCCATTTTACGAGCATAAATTAGGTAGTAAACTGCGAAGGGAAGGCAAGAAGGAATGACTGAAGTGATACGTACTGGTTGAGCAACTTAAGCTATATATTAAACAGCCTCGTGTCACAACCTAATCCCTCGTCAACCACCTCGAGGAAGTAGGTTTAAAGATATTTTATTGAACTTTCCATACCTCGCGTGACATTGGTTGTTTAAATATATTTGTTCGATAGGAGTCACCACTAGCTATAATTAAGAGTTGGCTAGATACCCTAATCAAGATATGGGAGTGTCATCTCGAAAACATACGCGACCAAAGATTCTTAGGAATCGGAGACTTGATTACACTAGTTTTTCAACTAATACCCTTTCGGTACCTAAACTTGACTATTTGCTAACTAAAATGTTAGGACAGTCTTTCATTAATCGAAAATTTTAAATTCCGTCCTAACCATTCTAAAAGAGAAAAACAACAAACAATGTATTTAAAATACACAATCAAATGAAATCAAAATGAAAATGCACAAACAGCGACCTAATATCATCTCTAAAAGAAAAGGCAATCAAAAAAATCCTAAGGTAAAGCCCTAAAGGCTAATTCAATTTTGGGTACAAATTTTATTCAAATCTAAAGTGTTTATTAAAGGGAAAAAATCACCAAAAACCCCAAACTTTGCCATCTGTGACACATTTACCCCGAACTTTTTTTTGTGACACCAAAAACCCCGAACTTTGCTTTTTGTGACACATTTACCCCAATGTATTTACTCCACGGGCATTTTCGTCTTTTTTGCTTTTTCTTTTTTTTTTTTTCTTTTTTTTGCCTTTCCGGCGAGGGGGGGCCTCGCCGGAGGGCTGCCCATCGCCGGATCCGGCGAGGGGGGCCCTCGCCGGCGTCGAGCGAGGGCGGCCCTCGCCAGATCCGGCGAGGCGGCCCTCGCCGGCTGCCGGCGAGGTTCGCCTCGCCCGGGCGAGCGAGGGCGGCCTCGCGATCCGGCGAGGGCGGCCTCGCCGGCGTCGGGCGGCCCTCGCCGGCGCCGGGCGAGGTTCGCCCTCGCCCGGGCGAGCGAGGGCGGCCCTCGCCCGACTCAGCGAGGTCGACCCTCGCCGGCTGCCGGCGAGGGTCGACCTCGCTCGAGTCGGGCGAGGGCCGCCTCGCTCGCCCAGCGAGGGCGACCTCGCCGGCGTCCGGCGAGGTCCGCCTCGCCCGGGCGAGCGAGGGCGGCCTCGCCCGATCTCGGCGAGGTCGACCCTCGCGGCGTCGGGCGAGGTCGCCTCGCCCGGGCGAGCGAGGCGGCCCTCGCCCGACGCCGGCGAGGCGGCCTCGCCGGAGCCGGGCGAGGGCGACCTCGCCGGCGCCGGCGAGGGTCGCCCTCGCCCGACGCCGGCGAGGTCGCCCGACGCCGGCGAGGGTCGCCCGACGCCGGCGAGGGTCGCCTGACGCCGGCGAGGGTCGCCCTCGCCCGGGCGAGCGAGGGCGGCCCTCGCCCGACTGTGCGAGGTCGACCGCTCGCCGGCGTCTGTGCGAGGGCAAACCTCGCCCGACGCCGGCGAGGGCCGCCCTCGCTCGACGCCGGCGAGGCCCCCCCTCGCCGGAAAGGAAAAAAAAAAGAAAAAAAAAAAGAAAAAGCAAAAAAGACGAAAATGCCCATGGAGTAAATACATTGGGGTAAATGTGTCACAAAAAGAAAGTTCGGGGTTTTTGGTGTCACAAAAAAAGTTGGTAAAATGTCACGGATAGCAAAGTTTGGGGTTTTTGGTGATTTTTTCCCTTTATTAAAAGCACTAAACTATGTGAATTCCAATCTGTTTAGTTTATTTTTTTATTTTTTTTCTGGATTTTCTGAATTTTTATTTTTATTTCTATTTCGAAAAAAGAAAAGAACTTTGGACCCAGTCAAGGAACCCGGTCCGATTAGCCGGTCTGATCCGGACTCTAGTCCGAATTGCGAGTCTGATTCGGACCGCTAGCGGTCCGAATCAGACTCGCAATTCGGACCAGTCCTTGGCAGTCTAAATTTGGGTCCCTTTTGATGGGCCATCAACAATTCAAGCCCAAGTTTTCCAACCTTTTTCATTCATTTAGCCCAACTCCAAGTTCAGCCCAGTCACACTAAAATTGAGCCCATTCATTTGTCCTATTCTCCAGCCCATCAGCTCCTCTACTCCGATCCAGAACAGAACTCGACCCAGTTTTCATTATATTCGAATTTTTTATTTCCTTTTCTAATTTTTTATTTTTTATTTCTATTTTTTATTGTTTCTTTCTTTTCTATTTTTTTTAATTCCCTTTTTGGTCTTCTTCTTCCTTACGTGATTTCCTTCCCCGAGAGGTCACCGTCAGGATTCCAACTTTGAGCTTCACCGGAGCAACTATTCCTCCGGTCATCAACGTTTACCGGCTATTTACTCAAGCAACCTACCATTAACTCGCCTTCGCCCACCACCAATCCCAGCCATTATTAGATCGCCGACTGCTTGTTCCGATCACTGTTCCGACTATCCAAAACTTTTTCCGATGGCCATTTTCATTCATCAACTAATAATCCACAAGCAATAGCAATAAATGTACACATACATGGTAGAGAAAGGGAAAAGAGGAAGCTAACACGGACGGACTTTAACCGTAGGCACCTTCGGCATGTAAAATGGATCTCCGGCGAAGGTTTCGTTCATGGCCAATTCATGATGTGCACGTATCATTAAAAAAAAATTCGGCATTAGCTTTAGTTCAACGATTAACGGTGCAAATATGAATCAGATTTACACCTAAAAGCTTTGACACAATCGTTCTCAAATCAGTTTTAATATTCTCTCAAGCAAATCGTCAAACAAGTAGCATGCGACTCAAAAAATGAGATTCCGATTTGATTCCGATATGATTCTCAATCAAGAAATGATGTGTAAGTGCCTAAATCATGTTATTCTACAACAGATATGCCTTATTCTATCAGATTTTCGCACAAACTCAACAATTGAGTCAAGCCTCTTTTCTCGGCCAAAACAGGACATATTTGTGATAGAATTCCTACCTGGTTTGGAAGCAGCGTCTTCACGATCATCTTCGAACAGGAGTCCTCTGGTGCGGCTAAACAGTGACGAACAACACCGACTCGCACTTCCGAAGTAACGAACCACGGCGTATCGTGTATCGAAATGGTGATTCATAGGGATTGTTCTCCGGCAACGGTGAACAGACGATGGAAGAAGGGGAAGAGATTTTCTCCTCTACGCTAGTAGAGGAACCGAACGCTCTCTTCTTCAAGAAACCCTTCTTCCCCGACGATTTTTTTTCTGATTCATTCTCTCTCTTCTTTCTTCAGTCGTGTGAGTATATATCTTCCCACGCCTCCACTGTGCATTCTATTTTTCCGATAACAACTTCTACAGCTCAGCAAGATTCTAGAACCTTACCTGGATTTGTTTCCGTCACATGCTCATTTCGTCACCGCCACTCTCACTCACGAATAAAGCTGTCAAATGAGTGGGTCGGTCGAGTTTGGATCGAATCATAAATAGTCCGATCCAAATTAATCTATTAACCCGTTTATGATCCATTTATGCACAATGCAATTTTCTTGACTCATACCCGACCCGATCCATACCCAACCAATACCCGATCAGATCCACATTACTAAAACACTTTCATATTTAATTAAATATAGGAAAATTCATACCCAAGCTAAAATGAGAGTGCGGAGTGAGTAAGTGCAAGATTGAATGAGGGCGAGAGAGATGCGTTGAGTTTAAATCAGTTGTAAACTCATTTATGATTTATTTACGACCCATTTAACACCAATATAAGACTTCTATCCATTTATGACCCATTTACTAATATATGGACTAAGAAATGGATTTATAATCCATTTTGACAGGTCTACTCACGGATGCTCCCTCTGTTCGTCACCATCTTCTGCTCACAAGCGTGAGCAAGCGAAAGAGATCACAGGTGTGAGACTGGCCACTGGGCTGGGGTAAGAAGAATGGGCAAAAAGGAAATAAATTGGGCCTAAAGACAAAATAAAGAAAAAGAAAAGAGAAGAGGGGGGCCGAATTCGGCCCAAGCGAGGAAAGAAAGGTAGACCATACGTGCAGTGGGCCGAATGCACATATTAGGCCCAATCGTGCTGGGTAGAACAAGAGTTTTTTTTTTTTTACTTATTTATTTATTTAATTTTTTATTTTTTTGAAATCGAGGTGTCGACACCTCGCGAAGTCTAAAATTTTTGGTACGCGTTCGACCCGCAAAATCCGTTCTCAAAATCCGTTCCAAAGGTATGGAGCAGCTATAAGATGGTCTTCTAATGCCATAATTCATGTACCAGTATTTCCACCCTCTTTTTTTCCAATCCGAAAGACCAAAAGACATGCTTGGACACCCATTGGCAATAACCGTTCAATGTCAACAAAACCTTCTTGCAAGAGAATTATAATATGTGGATGCCACTAACCATCGGACACTCCATACACATCATTTTCCACGCTCCCACCGTGAATTTGAACCCAAATTGCACTTCTGCGGAAAGGGATCTTTACGTGCTTATTCCGCTCAACATCCAGGACAAAAAAGTCTACTTTTTTCTTATTGAATTAACATCAAATCTAATTAGAATTATAATTACGATGACTGGCAATTCATATCACCAAATCTATTATTGATTATTTGTGTCATTTTGGCAGCCAGTAATTGCAATTTATTTCAATTAAATATCAGTGACAATATATCAATTTGTGTCCTCTTTGAATTAACGTTGTTGTGTCGTGTAGGATTTTTCTCGATATATCTCTGACTTGTTCGAGTTCATTCTGATTATGAATTGCCACCCATAGCTCTATTAGTGTGACAATTTGTGGAGAGAATGATTTCGATGATCGCAAAATCATTCTAACATGTTTAGTGCCTTATTTAAGTTGCAAAAGAAGGAGGAGGAGGAGGAGGAGGAGGATTAAGACAAAAGCTTTTCCTTCGCACATATGGTAAACATGAAAAAAAAAATTGTATTAGAAATCCTAAACGCTTTCTGTGAAATGCTTCAAAATAGCACAATTAAATTCTTATGGAGTGCAATTATCGGCGGCGGTTTCCGACCGCCGGATGTGGGGCTGCGTGGGGCACATCCTCCCGAGACGAGGCGCTGTGCCCGCTAGAGAAAAAAAATTCATTAACTTTTTCCTTAAATAATATATTATATATAACCGTTAATATTTTCTTAACAATTATGAATTGTTCTATTTTAAACTTATTCATAACCTATAATTATTAAAAAAAAAATCACAATCTCATTAGCTTAACTCTACTTATTTATATTAATGTGTTTATATTATCCACTTTACAACGTATATTTATTTTAACATTAAGTGTGTAATAAATTTATTGCAGGTTACCTAATATATTTAACTTTTAATATATTTTTTGTAATTAAGAATGTTCGGGGGGCTGTACATTTTATTCAAATTTTCCAATTTTGTAACACGCTTAAACCTCATTTAGTTTTCAATAACGACATATATGAAAACAAAGTAGCTCCCATATTCGCATAAATCAAGCTCAGTTTATAGAAATATTTCGGGACCAGCCCAGAAGTGCACCATGCGCTAGACAATGTGACTGAGCCCCACCTTGCGCGTGGCTTCACACGCCTAAGCCAATCAACTTCTGACACAGCTCTTGCTGCCACATGTCAACATGTGATTAATTCACATCACGCTTACTACGTAGCGATGTTATCCCCTGAATTGTCGTGCCGCCATCTGCCACGTCATTAGCCATGTGGTGACATGTGTCACCAGAAGGGGTGTCAATGGATCGGGTCGGGTCGGGTGACTCACCATCTATCGTTGACTGGACTTCTAACGTGGCACTACCAAATGTAATTGCCTAGTCTAACAATAAGCGAACATTACTGTGCAAGAGGTGTTCTTATTTTGAAAGCAAAAAACTGTTGATTTTCTAATGTGGCACTGTTGATTTTCATTTCACACGGTCGCCTGATCCAATGCCAAAGTTTAGTCATCGCCGAGAAAATTTCCTTTATCTGGAAGCCTACATTTTCCATGGTAAACTGCACAATAATCTTTCATGATATAACTTCTCGCCGTTCTCGATTGGGATTAGAAATGTGTTGGTAAAATAGTTATTTTGATGATACAAAGTATCATTTCGTATTAAAAATCTCTTTTTTCTTGGTAAAATTAGATATATAATTGCTTTCTATCAAGTAAGAAATCATCAAATCGATAAGTTATTCCATAAATTCTAGCAAAACTAGACTACGGATAAACATCGAAAATCAATTTTCTATTATCTAGCGCTTGTCAATTCATATATAGTGCTCTTTGGTTGTATTGTCAGTTCTCAATAACCAATCTAATATTGATCCGATCCGGTTCCCAAATCGAGATGAGTGAATGGAATGAAGAGACCCTAACATTTTTCCACCATGAAGAGGATCTCAGATCATGACAAGAAATGAAGTATCAATTGGCATACAGAGTACTTTCTTCCAAGGGAAAATTACCAAAAAAAAATATCATAAACTTATTGTGCATATTTTTATTCAGTTCTAAACTTATTTTAATTTTGTCAATTTAATCCTAAACAATTTAACAATTTGCCAATATAATCCTTCCGGTCAATTTCAGTGGGAAATCGCTGATGTGGACATCGACCGTTGACATGGACAATTTTTGCATTTTTTTTGCAAGGAAAAAATTCGAAAAGAAATTGAAAAAATTATCCACGTCAGTGCCAGTCGTGCCAAGTAAGACGGTCGACATCCACGTCCGCAATTCCAACCAAAGTTGGCCAAAAGGACTACATTGATAAATCTCATAAGATTTAAGACTAAATTTTTCAAATTGAAAAAAATTAAAATTAAATTGGTATCCATATAATAAGTTCAAAACATTTTTGGTAATTATCCCCTTTCTATCATCTATCCTCTCTGGTTCCAAGAAGCCGGAAACTGTACTGCAATTATTGACGGTCTAGTTTACAAAATCCCTCACATAAGTAGCTACATACCACGCATCATTTACGACCAGGTGTACACCTCAAAATAGAGTTATAAAAAAGCCTGAGGATGAGCCGGTTCATTGACTCACGAATTTGCTTGATGACTATCCAAATTCTGACGAACTTTGGCCGTAGGCCATATCTCGAAAATCTGTGTTCTCAGGTGACTCTGAATGGTTATAGACCCCATCCACTCCTTTTTGCACTCCTATTTTGTGTTAACTGTCCACTAATCACACAGAAGCATATGATAAAGTTTCACCCAGAAGATTCACAGCCTGAGTTCTATCAAAAGAGCCATCAAATGGCAAATGGCAACGGGCAACTTCTCTGTTCACTGCCTCTTCCGCATACCAAAAGCCACTCAACTTAACATGTTGGGCCAAACTTGTAACATTTTGATCATTACCGTATCAATCTACTAATAGCTTGTGCAGAACAATAATCTTCATCTTATCATGAAATGAACATGAAACTACCCTGGTCAGTCTGAACTCTGGAAAAATGAACATGCCCAAGATCATCGATACAACAAAGAATCGAACAAAATGTCGAGAATCGAAAAGATCCATACATACAATTGGCTTCAAGCTATATGCAAAACTCAAAAGCAACTAATACCACGAATTCACAACCATCCCAGTTGCCATTGCCGTAGTGGAGGCTAAAATACTTTGGGCCGCTGTCAATATCCAAGTCAAGATCTTCTCCGAGCACTGTGGAAATGGCCACTTTCAAGGTCTCTTCGCCCCCAGTTTTCACCTCTTCACTCCAATATTATGTAATACAAACATTGTACAACTACCTTACAAAATTACAGTAGATCTAAAAGGGGAGGCTGTCCAGAGGCCGATTTAGTAGGGTTTGACCGAGAGGTTGACGTCAAACCTCTCCCTCTGCCTCTGCCAACTGCAGTTGAAGGTGGCGGTGCAAGTCTAGGTGCAGTCTGTTCACTCTTGTTGGAACCAAAGATGGATCCAATATCAGCGGGTTTCTTGTCAAGATTAAAGCTAGAGCTCATATTTCCCTGACTCTGTTTTAGATAGCCTAGAGAATTCTGGGAACTAACACCACCATTTTGACCACCACCAATTGAAGCAGAATTACCTATACTGGTTCTCGACGGCTCGACAGAATTTTGACTGAAAGCCCAGTTGCTAGTCTGGAAATTCGTCATGTTAGACATACTCATGACTGCAGAGCCATTCAAAGATGTTGCCATGGTGCCATTTTTGGAAGACCCAGAAACATTTTGGGAGCCACTAGGACGTGGGGGCCAGTCAGCGAAAGGGTCAATCTCATCAAAACTCAAAGTAGATGATGCCCCCGCATCCACTTTTTTCTCTGCCTCATTTGAATGGGGCTTAACACTCAATGACGTCCGTGGAGGCCATTCAACATCAGCTACGGGGGTGCATGTTGTGATTGTTTGCTGGCTAGATGCTGCAGATGGGATGGAGGAAGGCATTTGCAGAGGAAGCAATTGCACGGGTTGACTGCTGGAAATTGGAGGTGCAGAGACGCTTGGGGAATTTTCGGTGATGAGTCCCTTGGCTGTTGGACCCCAATCTTCATCCCAAGAAGCGGACTTTTTCATGGTAGAAGCGACACTACCGCTTGCTTTGCTGTTGGATTGGGACCGCAGGCCATCTGCCACGGGAGATGACTTGACTTCAGTACCAGAATCACCAACAGAAACTCCTCGTTTTTCTTCTATCTTCCTGTGGCATGGCATAAACATAACAGAACAAATGAAATAATAATACATCTGCAGAAGAGAGCAAGAGAAGGGAGTATGCTGATACTACAGCTATACCTTAATATATCCTTTACAAAGAGCATATACTTGGCAAAATGTTGGACATTCAATTGTTGTGCAGTGAGAAGAGGTACGAGCAATGGAAGGACATGCTCTGCAGCAAATTCTACTCCATACTGAAAGCAGCATAGTAATAGTCATTATAAGAAAGAGAACTTTCTATTTTATCGTAAAAACAAAAATGACACCAAGAAACACAAGTAATTGTAAAAGGGCATTTTGAAGAGGGCTGCAAATGCAAACTCATTACCTGCTTAAGCATAGAGTTAGCAACTCCAAGAGTACACATGAGCGTAGGAGCAGAACGATCAACAGCAGTACAACGTTGAATTGTTTGTAAAATTTCAAGGGTAGCTTGCTTGTCGAGCTTAGGAATTAAATCCCCTAAACATAGCAAAGCATTGACTCTCACCTTCCAAAAGAAACAAAAGAAGCATCAAACTAAACGCGAAAGATGAGAATCTACAGATTGCATGCACATAAGATAACTCTCTAGCATATAAAAATATTCGAAGAATATATAAGCAAATGTATGATTAAACAAGATTGATAGATTATTTATCATCAGACACGGCAGAAGCATAGGCATTGATGTAGAAGCAATCAGAATCTGGGTGAAGAAGAGGACAAGAAGAGAGAGCCACCAAGGCAAGAGAACGACTGAAACGTTACCACCCAACTGAAAGTGAAAGACCTCATACTCAAGGCGGACAACCACACTACAAATCTCTAACCTACCATGCATCATAAAGTCAAGATAACCTAGATAAAGACATAGAAAAAAACACATGGTGATCAAGGTGAGAAAAATTAGGAAAAAGTGAATTTCTGATTCCAGTCAGTCTGGTTGGTTCTTTGCACCTATCGTTTTCTATTTTAATCAAATAAAATCTAAAATTTCACTATATGGAGTTATTAAAAAGTGAATTCTGATTCCAGTCAGTCTGGTTGGTTCTTTGCGCCTATTGTTTTCTATTTTAATCAAATAAAATCTAAAATTTCACTATCTGGAGTTATTTTGATTCTCTTCTAAATCAAACGGAGTAATTGAAGCATCATTCATAATATGGATGTGATAAAAAAAAAAAAGAGACATGAAAAATTGTTGAGTCAGCCCCTTAGTACCCTTCTAATTAATTTTATATTTAATACTCCAAAGAAAATGAAGTTCGTAAAAGAGTCAACATGATGAGTCCGGACAAAGAAAACAATATCTCGGTGACAACTTCTCGATGATCTGAGTTTGACCACATACTTTTGTAAAGGATGCATATTAGACATACATACCGCAGCAACAGTCGTTTTAAGCGCTAAGCCATGAACTCGAGGCAAAATTGCTTGCTTGACTAGCTGCATAAAATAGCAAGAAATTAGCACCTACGGTGGAGAGCATTGATGCTGCCAACAAACATTGTCAATAACTGTTCATGAAGTTCTATATACACAAAAAAAAAGGAGTCAACTTAAGCAAATGACAAATTCCTCTATTAGTTGATGAATGTTTGTTAAAACCCAACATCTATTGCTTCCAGCAGCAAAATCTCGCAATCAAACGGCACATGATTCTACACCAAAGAACCACCATACTGAAACCAAATCCAAAGATCTATAGATGCTAGGATGCCAGCCAAGATCCATCACAAAGAGCTTTAGTGAACCATTCTGAGTTCTAAACATAGAATCTGTTTGTTTTTCCAATCATTCCCGCATCTGACTAGACACGTAATATAGAGGTCAACAGACTTCTGATGGTGCAGTGAGCCACATGGAACTTAAGTCTGAAGGTGATCAGTTTAACATCTGACTTTTCAACTTTCAGTTTTCCAAAGGACATAAGATCACGGTCTGGCTTGACCCCAGGGCTTGTCATTCAATTTTGGATTCTGATTTTCCTAATTTCATCTTCATTGCAGTAAATAAAGAAACTACAAGAGCTGATTGCTTGAGTAAAGCTGGTGGAAGTATACTTGGTCATCCTGAAGCCCACGTAGAACTGTTAGGAAAAATCTATTTAACATTCCACTGAACAATGTTCAGAATTATGTGCCGCTATTTCATAAAAACATCTCTTATTCATCCGGACCTACACTACCCAAAGTCTAATGCTTCTCTCTTTATTTTCAAATCAAACATTCCAAGCCCCAAATTCCAAATGTACCAAAAGTAGGCATAATGCAATCCATCTTACAGAGAGAATACGTGTGCTTCACCCAACAGCAGCCTCATTTACCAAGATTGTCAATAGTAGAAACATTTTCGCAGACGACCTCCAAAGCATAAAAGAAAACCTTGGGAAGTTTTCATAGAAGGAAACTTAAGATGGATTGTAACCGAACCAAGTTATTCATGAGCTACTCGAGACTGACCTGTATATTACTTGAACTCATCTCAATTCTTCTCTTAAAACTCGAGCTTGATAAGGATTGACTCGACTAGCAAGACTAATCGAGTAGTAGAATTTTATATAGAAATTAATGTGTTTCATTTGTAAGTATTACAAACAGCTAATGATTTTTTTTCAAGTTTACATGATATTGTAAGAATTTAAGTTCAAGCTCGAGACTCAGTTCAAGCTTAAAAATAGCTTAGATAAAAATAAAAATATATATGAAATTATTTCAGTCAAGTCCGGACGAGTTTGAGCTTATAGAAAACTTAATCAAGTCAATCGAGCTTGTGAAACCAAGCCTGAGACGAGTATCAAGTTGTGCACACTAGAGACCAGTCGAGCTCAAGTATCAACCTGCCACGACTTGACTCGGCTATGCCCTATTGAGACTCCTATATGCCATGTCCAATAGAAATCCATATGCAAATAAAACGTCGTGATTTCTAGCATAAACAGGAGTAAACTAGTTGAACCATAGTTTAAGCAAATATCAGTGGACATGCAAGGATAGAAGGTTGTAGGCAAGAGTAACCTTATTAGGAAAATTTGTGATGACAAGAAAACGGCAAAGAAAATGCTAAAATAACAGACAAGGAGTTACTAAGAAGCATCATTTTACATGTGTTAAGATATTTTACCTAAGACTTTTCCTAAAGTGATGCAGCAACTTTCATTGTCCAAACAGTCACTTTGTCTTTAATTCACAATTTCATATCAGACAAGGCTATGTGCACGCCACATTGCAAAGAAGCTTTAACAAAAATTTAACACAAGTAGCACTGTTGCTAAGAGTAAAGAGGTAATTACCAAAATATCGAGCTGCTTGGCAAGATATGCAGACTTTTTCAGGACTTCCTCTTGTATGCGGGCATCACTATCGTCATAAGCTCGAACCAATAAAGGCAGGACATGAGATATTAACTGCTCCTGACTAGTCTACAATGACATTCAGGCCAATGTCACGATCACTATCGCTGGATACAAGGCATAGACATGATAGAAGAAATTGAGGTACACAAACAAGAGATTTCAAATACCCAGATAAATGGAATTTCATGTTCCTAGGAAAACCTAATATGGATGGACAGTGTTTATTGATACATCTGAAAAAACATGACTCGCAATCCCCAGGTTGAATAAAGAAACAACTTGAACTATCTTTCACGAGTTCGCACATAGTAATATGATAGAGTCAACAAGTAAATTTAACGAATCCTGTTAGGACTGGAAAGCCAGCATCTCAGAAAGGCTATAATTTGCACGATTTTAGTAGCACACATTAGGCCCGCCCACTTCCAAAAGTTGAAAGAAATCTAGTCACAGCAGAAGCAACCCAAAGCAACTGATTTGTTATCAACCGTTATCAAGAAAAAAAAAATCAATTATCTAACTAAATTTGAAGGTAACAGATTCCCTCATGAAAGGAATCAACGGTGGAGCAGTTAAACTAAAAATTAAATTCAAACCACTGCTACGAATTCACAGCAGCAATGTTTAAAAAATAGATGTCCTTCACACAAATCCCAATAACAGTTTACGCAAGCTAAAGACCTGGTTTTATGGTAATTCATTGGGTTTAGGTAACCGATGATGCTTGAAGTGGAAAGGGAAGAACAAAGTAAAGGAACCCAAGCCAGCTACAGAGATATATGGGTAGATTATTTCATTATGGACTGCAACTGACTGTCATCCAAATTTTTCCTTTTTTTTTATTTTTGATAAGTTAGAGAAGCTTCATTAAAGAGAACCAAGGGGGTGCAAGTCCTATACCAAAAGAACTGATTCATCCAAAATGGAAGGGAAATGGATTGTATATATGTATGTATGTCTTCCTACTTTCTCCACCCAGAAAATGCCGGTTAATTTGGAGGACGAAAACATCAGAGATCTTTCATATAGTTTCCTCCAATCTCTTTTCGCAGCAACCAAACCAATTGACAAACCAGAGGTTAATCCAGATATTCAATGTACATTATGTTAGAGAAATCTCAGTTCCCCTAATTTACATAAGCAATTACCTTGTTGATAATTAGGTCTGCGCACTTCACAAGTAGTAGCAGTGTCTCACCAGAAGCAGAACTGAGGACAGGAACAAGTGCTGGAAGCGTAGATAACTCAAAATCATTTTTATCCTACAAAAAAGGAATTGACAACGTCTGAGAACATACACTATCTAATAAATCAAAGCTTTCACCACATGTACTTTGGCAGAAGCCAACATTCAACCAGACAAATGGATACACGCACGCACGCACCCACACATGCATCACACTTAGCATAAATTCTTGTTCACCCTTGCATGAACAAACATAAGCAAACATACAAAGGGAACGCAAATTCTAGCGATGGTGTAAGTGGTCGGCAGGGTCCAGAATTCTGGTGACCCAAGACATAAAAATACAAAGACTGGGACAAGGTACATGGATCATGATCCAAGACCCAAAGGAGGTTTCGAGTCTATCCTTTAATATAGCTGAGATGGAGAAACTATGGTCGTCCCTTCACGCTGGTCCTATCTGGCACAAAGCGAAAGATTAATCCAGAATCCAGCAAGCCAGTCAAGATTCCAAAAACTAATGTTAGTCTTAACTAAAACTATCCCTCAGAGTGGTATATAACAAGTACAATACTCATTTTGTGCCAATGTCAGATATAAAGTAGATAATTCTTGTATTTGGCTCTGCAAAAGACATGAGGACAGAAGTTCAACATTCCGAATGTCTCTAGTCCTCATAAAACTCTCATTCTACTTTTGATTCAGGGACTGCTCTCTTCTCCAAAAATTTTCATTAAGCGGAAAAATAACCAGAGAAATGAGAAATTTCACTTTGCCAACTCAATGTTTATGATAATTTCTTCTTCTCTTCTGCACTAGATAGAAGGCTTAAAACTTCAGAAAAATCTAGGCCTTATTCCTAGGTGTTTTATATCTTAATTGTTCAGATCCTGCACCTATTCTCCCAACATAAATTTACATCAAAGGATGCAACATCTAAAACTAAGGCTCTCATCTTCATCAGACATATTGAAAATATATTGCAGAAACAGAGAGACCAACATTTTCTGATCACGTATAGCATGTGAAACATATTGCATTAACAATCTAGATTTGCATTGAAAAAACTATTGGCTTTTCACTAAAACATGGTCTTTTTCCAGAAAAAGAAAAGAATATGGTATCCATTCTATTCACAAGACTGAGGTGCAAAGAAATATATTCAGAAGATTTGAAACAAAAAAGATCCAAGGAATCTATTTACTGTGCCAGATAAGCAAAAATTATTACTCGCAAAGTAAGGGAGACGAGGATTATTGCAGCTAGCTGCTTGCCTATATCATTCATAGCTATGAGAAATTAACTCATCATAGTTTTTGGTAGATTCCAACTGTGAATGAAGAGCTCAATCCTTCAGTTGAGCTCGAGTGCACCCCCGTCTTAAGTATTGTTTCACACAAATCAAATATAGATTCATCAGAGGAACAAATAAGTCAAATTCTCCATTAAATACATTTTTTGGTTCATAAAACTTCAGTTTTGAAGGAAAAGAAAGACTTTTATCCTCATTTCTGCTTTTCTTTTACAATGTATGCAAGAAAAATTACAGAAACAGCAGCAAATCTCTAAACCTAGCATGTAGACATCCTTGCTGTACAACATTGGTCCCTAAAGTTAAAGACTTAGCCGAAGTACCTGAGACTCTGCTATTGTAAGAACCATGGGTAGTATCATTGGTTGCATCACCAGATTCCGAAGTTCAGCACAAAGTGGTGGCAGTACCTGCATGGAAATAATAGAAAAACTTTATTCAGTAAAGAACAAGCAAAACGATGTATAAATCTAGATTCAAATTACAGAAAACTAGAGTTGAAAATCAAAGGGCTAGATGAGCTTAAAATTTTTTAAGGCGTTAGCCAGAATATAGTATACTTGACAAAACAGACTGAGCTGACAATGAAAAGTTTGTCCCCAGCCAACCTTTCTCCTCTCTTTGTTTGCTATCAAACCAAAAAGAAGTTTCTCCAGGGCTATGACCCACCTTAGTTTTATTTCTGTCTCTCTTTAATCAAATAACAGCATCTAAGTTCTGAATGACTCAAGATATCAACTTTTTTTTTTTTATATTGACAAGATACAGGAACTTCATTTAAAGGAAATGTCACCTCAGTAGACAGGAACTGAATTGCCCATCATCCAGAAGATTCGTAATAATAAATGGCATTCAATGCCTCAAATAAAATCCTTCTTGGGTTTATTGAAAGAGAATTAATAAATTCATCTATCCCCTTTAGCAGGAAAAACGATAGGCAGACACACACATATCCTCAATTTACATCTGAATAGCCAAATTTAGAATATGTATTGGGATGGGACACTGTATCAGTTGAACAACATGATTCATTCCTATTATGTATTCATAAGAGAGTATATACATTACGTACAGGGAACTGTCACATTGAAATAACATTAATTACTTGATGAGCTGGGAGTTAATCCACAAATGTATACAAAGAAATGTAGAAGTCAAAAATATGATAGCAGTCAATGTTGTATATTATGTTTTTTAACACCCAATAAAAATCAAACCTTATACCGCAAAACCCGAGAATCAAAATCTTTCCACATATCTGATAATGCTTTCAGAAATTCAGATTTCTGCATATTGTCTCTTTCCTGCAAGAACACAAGATTCATCACGATTTGTAGAACAATCTTATTCTAATTCAATTATCCAGCTAAAAGTGAGTCAACAAAATAATATAACTATGCATACAAGCATGTGGTCAAGGAAGCGAAGAGCTCTCAACCTCGTGTCATCTCGAAAAAATGGAGAACCTGCCCAAAAAGGAATTTGAATCTTAAAAAGTTAAAGAAACAGATGTCATTGTCAAACATACAAAAAAAGGATATGAAGTTCATCTAAGCTGTAATTGACCAAACATGTCCTTCATCATTTTTTTGCAAGTAAAGAATAGTAACTCCAAATGAAAATCTAAAAGAAGCCTGTCTCCAAACAACCCATGTTGTTGACATCTACGTATTGCCTCTAACTCTGCTGCTTTTTTCCCCAGCTTCAATAGAAGTACACATGGCCAATCACCCCACTTCAAGACAAAATGCTTCTTCAACCCTTAATTACCAAGAACCCACCCTATAGACGAACTATAAGTACTAATTCTGCTTTTCTTCCAAGGAATTTCACTTAATAACTAGTCTCATCTTGTGGAGGAAGAACGTAAAATTATTAAGAAGAGAAACTAAAGAGAGGACCTCTGTTCTCATGGTTAAAAGGACATCTCTCCTTGTGGGTAATGAGGACCTTCAAGATGGACAAGGAATAACCCAAGAATTTATCAATCAATTCAAAAACTACCATTTCCCTTCATGTACCAAACAAAATATAAAAGATATCTCAGCCATACCAACTGCCCATAGTACAAATAACCAGAAACCATAAAGTGAAGATCAATTATTGCCTATATTATGCATTAAATTGTCTCTTCAGATTTGTAAATCTCCCCCTTTTCACTAATACATAATCAATCCACAAAACAATATCAAGTAAGGACCTGTAAAATCAAGTGCTGTAGGCCTGAAAGATTCATTTGCTGAAAGCATTCTGTGCAAGTCAGGAACTAACTCAGGAGGAATGGTTGAGAAAGCTTCCTTTGATAAGTATGTCAAGGTATTCATATACTGCATATAGCACACCAAAAGCAAAATGCATCAGTAGTGCACCATATATCGAGAGAGATCCCATGGAAATATGCGTGTCCACCGATTCCCCTATACGGGCGGACACTTGGGTTACATAGATAGAAGGACAAGCCCAGCGTTTGATAGAAAGTACCATTTTGACATTGTTATGGCAGTCAAACAAAGGCTTGCGAGCAATTAAGTGGTAAGCAAGGCATCCAAAACTAAATATATCAGAAGCAGACCCAGCTGAAGCTGTTTTGCTCCGGACCAGTTCAGGAGCAGTGTAATTGAGTGATGGCTGCAAGGGCAGTACAGAATCCTCAACATCATATTCCTGCACGATCATTACAAAAGCTCGAATAAGTAACCAAACTGCGATCATACTTATATCCGCAATAACATACCGAACAAAATGCAAGAATTGTGTTGTGCCATGCAATACTGTCATGACTCGCATACGAGAGAATTTTCAGTCTATTTCCACAGTTTTCCATCATTAAGTACTAGATCGAGAATGGTTGGTGTAGCAAGAGAACAAGAATCGAGTAGGGAGAAACTACAAAAACCAAATCAGGCACCAATAGTCAAGATTGAGTAAAATCATCGTGAATAAAAGAAAAAGATAAGTAACTTTTGCCAACATCTATTGCAAGATCAAAAATAAGAAAAGGAACGCGCAGCAATTATGTCTCAAAGAATAGAGAGATGAAAACAAAGTCAGTTTTCTTCACTCGTCATCTTATTGAATTATCCACATACAGAATAATGGAAGGGTTGCAGACTAGATAAATCCCCCGAGGCCTGGTCTGAGGAAATGGCAAAACCAAATCCACCAAGCTTCCAAGCTCCACTTGACGTAATAAGCACATTCTGCACAAAAAAAAAAATGTTCCCAAGAATTACTTATGCATGTTCAAAAATCCATCTACTCTTCTTCAATCCTGGATTAAAGAGTGAAATTAAATCATTTTACTTAGAAGTGTAGAAACATCAACCATTAAAGGGAAAGACAGTTTTCCACAGAAAGGAGGAAAATATTGATTTGCAAGTGCAAAACCCTGGAAAGCATACCATGAAGACAGTATGACAAGAATTTTGGGGACTGTAAAGTCATATAATTATACGAAGATAAAGTCTTTCATATAGGACTTCACGTCTAATATAGAGGGCAACTATCATGTCACTAAATAATGGTGACAAGAAATTAACATGCACCCAAGCAAAGAAGAAGATAGCACTCAGCTAAAGGATCCTCTTAGCTCCAGCTTTAAAGATAAAGAACAAAAAATTGGTCGCATTACTCGATCCAAGAAAGAAAGAAATAACTCAACACTACACTATGCTTCTCTTCCAATGATCCCTAAGGCAAGTTCAGGGAAAAGAAATGGTGCCCAAAGAATTAACCTCTGGCGATATCGACCGATGTATGAGACGTGCATTGTTGTGGAGAAAGTCCAGCGATTCTGCTATTTGTAGCAAGCCGTGTTTCACCTCTAACAACCCCATCTCCTGCGATGCAGACACATATTGACTAACTTGAAAGAACACAAGCCTGAATGAATAGAAAGACATGAAACAGCAAGCCCCTCCTCATTTTGCAATTCTTGACACCAGTATCTTCTAATTCGCATCAAGACCTCAATAGATCCTAGCTGTTACTCGTTGGAACTTAAAGAAGTTGAGCCAAAAACAAGGGATTATGGACATCTATATGCTTTCTCAAATAGGCATGCTCCATCCAAAAGCAGAAGTTTCTTGTAAGAATAAATTGAAGATAATAATAGCCATCCTCAGAGAAGACATTATGCATATCGTCAAAATGAAAAAAGCACGTGCGAAATGTCATAAGTGAAGTCTCATAAATATAGTGGTTTCCCTACATTGCCTCCCCGTCTAAACCAAGGAAACAGTCTTCCCGTACTGTTCGAGGCATTCACCTTACTCTCTCCTGAACCAAGATTAACAGGAGGCTTGTGCACCAGACACGCTCCTTCTAATTCAATTTCTGTAAATATTCCTATCAAACTACTATTCAAACCAAGACTGAAAGGAGGCTTGCACGCTCGATACGCCCCTTCAAGCTCAATTTATCTATGAATTCCTATCAAACAGGTTATCGGAAAGAGGTCCTATCTGAGTCGCACCAATCTAAACTATGCAATCAGCTTGATCGATACTGATGATCAACAACAAATTAACTATAACGTCAAGCGAGTAAAACCTAACAATGGTTGCCGGAAGCAAGTGATCGGAGACATGAGCAAACATGACAACGGCTCTAATTGTCAAGGCACGTAAAATGCAATGAACGGACGCATTTACACTATTGCCGACAACTGATGAGAAATGAGGAGAAAAGGACAAGACCACGAACCATGCCCTTGAGCTCCTTAGGAACCTTGGGAACATTCTCCAGATTGCCCAGCGCATTGGCGACGGACGCGAACAGGGGCTCGGTGACCATGGCCATGGCATTCTTGCTCTCGTCCAGCGCCTGCACCACGTGGACCACCCCGGGGTGCCGGAGGCGCACCAGCCGCGCCGCGTCCGCCCGGACCACGTCCAAGAAGCCGTCCTCCGCGGCCTTGGACAACCCGGCGCGGGCGCGCGCCTCGGAGAGGGCGCGCTTGTCGAGGACCCAGACGCAGACCAGGGGGTACTGGTGGGCGCGGGCGGAGTCGCGGGAGGCCCTGGCGGAGTAGAGCTTCCAGGCGAGGGCGGGGCCGGCGGAGCCGATCTGGTCGATGAGGTCGTAGTCCTGGAGGGGCTTCGGGCCGGCGACCTCCTGGACCGTCGTCTGCACGGTCTTCTCGATCACGGCGCCGGCCTTGGCGAGGGCTTGGGTCAGGGTCTTCATGTTGAGAGCCATCGGGAGATCGCGCTGATCGATCGGAATCGATGCTCGTTCGGATATGTCGGATCCGAGTACGCACGCGCGCGCGCGCCACGTGGATGCAGATCGATGATCTCGTCCGGCGGATCTTGTAATCGGGGAGAAGGAGGAGGAGGGAGGAGGGATGCGGCGGCGGTGGTGGACGGCGGCGGGACCGACTGAATTGTGGCGGGCGGCGTCTCTTCTCGTCGTCGTCGTCTTCTTCTCCGTCCGGAATTTGATCAGCCCATTAAACACAGCAGAAGAAGAAGAAGAAGAAGATGAAGAAAGTGACGCAATTACTCCCTCCTTTCTTCTAATTTTCTTTTTTTTATTTTTTTATTTTTTTATTTTTTGCCTTTCTCCCGCTTTGGGTGGTTACGATTGGGGAACGGCTTATGCTTGGCCTCTTAGAAAAATTTATTCCACGACCTGTTCCAATTCTAATACTAAAATGAAGCCGACATGCAACAAACATGATTCCAGTCCCATGGACCGTCATATACCTGCGCTTCCCTTCTGCCCTGAGTAATCCAAAAACGGTATGCTACGGCTCTCCTTAATCCGAATTGGTGTACGTTAAATCGAAAACTTTAAGCATTTATATTTTACTCGGGAGCTAAATGATCTGGCAAAAACGTTATCATTGAATTGATCTCTTGTGTTGTTCGAAATAATTAATTAATGAGAAACGTTTTCACTATCGATAGCAATTTGTGGCTAAACATTTTCGCGGGACAATGAAAATTATTTCGCGAAATAGGTGGGGTTTTAGAAACCGAGCCGATGGCGAGAGATCAATTCGAGATCAGGCGGTAACGCAAACATCAAGAGCAGGTGCCCCCGATTTAAGCTTGACTTTTGCCGGTGGATGGAGACGGGAGGAGGAGGGAAAGAAACGGTAAAAAAATCCCCTTCCTTCTTTGCTCGGCCGGGGAAAACTGGGGGTGTCAAATGGGCCGGGTCGGGCCGGCACACGCACGACACGGCCCATTTATGAGTGGGCCAGTGGGCCGGCCGACGCTACACATCGGCCTACCACTGGGCGAGGCATGCGTTGGGCCATCGGGGAAAAAAAAAAGGACCAGCCCAAGCACGGGACGACCCATCATATGTCGGATCGGATGACGGGCCGGATCATTTCACCCCTTCCTTAAGAGAATTACGGTAGTTTGACCAAAAGTGATTTACTAAAAGTGATGTACAAAATCAATACATTAACACTCAGCTCGGTTTAATAAAAAAAGAAACACTTAGTTTGGATGAAGTGATTAGATTGGAAAATAAAGGGATACGAAAATTACGAGAGAAAAGAAGAGAGAGAATTTGAAGGGTTTGAATTATAATACATTGTCCAAGATGTTGGGGAGGCAAAACCAACGAAAAACTAATGCATCGTAACATAAATTTCCTTTTATGTGTTTATAAATAGACCTAAAAGGAGTATAAGCAAGAAAGAAGAATAAACCTATTTATCAACGTTCAACTCTCTAAGTTCGAGAAGATTGATCTTATTTCTGAAAACCTTTAGTCTTCCCCCATCCTCATCCCTCCTAACAAACATAATATATAGCCATACAATAAGTTGTATGTTAATCTTGACATACCTTAACACAACGTGCATGTTATCCTCATCTAAGGATGTCAACGGCTCGGTTAATTTTGAAAATCCAAATCAATCCGAATCGATCTGTTTGGGTGAGCAGCTGAATCGAACTTAACTATGATCCAAGCCAAATATATGAGCCGGATCTGGTGTATCACAAGGATTCGCCTTTTTTATGAATTCTTATGTAATCGAACCAATTCCGGATGGTTCTGACACCCCTATCGGCTATTGCCATCCCCCCCACCACTTGTCTATATTTAGTGCGCCACCGCTGCTGGTGCACCGAGTATGGAGATAAGCCACAGGCAAATTCCTTGTCGGCTTCTCCTCCCTTTGACCGTGAACCCCCGAGTCAAAAACCGCATTACATTGTGGGGACTCGCACTGCAAACCCCAAACCAGACCAGAACAGTATAAAGAAGAGAGCAAGAAGAAGCAACGCCCGCTTTCATCCATCCTCATCCTCATCCTCATCATCTCCATCCCAATCCCAGCAACAGCCAAAGGATGAAGCCGCCTCCTTCCCTCACCCTCCCCTTGCTGCTCCTCTTCCTCATCTTCCGAAGCCCCAACCTCGCCTCCGCCGCCTCCTGCCACCCCGACGACGAGGCCGGCCTCCTCGGCTTCAAGTCCGCCATCACCGCCGACCCCTCCGGCATCCTCGCCTCGTGGAAGCCCGGCACCGACTGCTGCGCTTGGCACGGCGTCACCTGCCTGTCCGACGACCGGGTCACCAGCGTCTGGGTGTCCGGCGACCCGGACCGCCCCGCCGCCTACTTGTCCGGCACCATCTCGCCTTCCCTCTCCAAGCTCCAGGACCTCGACGGCATTTACCTCCTGGACCTCAGGAACATCTCGGGCCGCTTCCCCGACCTACTCTTCCGCTTGCCGAAGCTCAAGTTCGTGTACATCGAGAACAACAAGCTCTCGGGCCAGCTACCGGCAGCCATCGGGAAGTTAGCCGGGGTCCAGGCGCTGAGCCTGGAGGGGAACGAGTTCACCGGGCCGATCCCGGGCTCGATCTCCGAGCTGACACAGCTGACTCAGCTGAAACTCGGCGGGAATTCCCTCTCCGGAGCCATCCCCGACGGGATCCGACGGCTCAAGAACCTGACAGTGCTGAGCCTGGCCCGGAACCGGCTCACCGGACCCGTGCCGGACTATCTCGGGTCATTACCCTATCTCAGAATCCTCAGACTGTCGAACAACAAATTATCCGGCGAGATTCCGGCGACCGTTTCGGGTCTAGCGCCAACGCTCGCGTATCTCGAGCTCGGCCACAATGCTCTGACGGGACAAATCCCGGATTTCTTCGGGAACTTCAGAGCGCTCGACACGTTGGACCTGTCGTCGAATCAGTTCCACGGCGTCGTGCCCAAGAGCTTCGCCAACCTCACCAAGATCTTCAACCTCGACCTCTCCCGCAACGTCCTCGTCGACCCCTTCCCCCAAATGTACGTCAAAGGGATCGAGTCGCTCGATCTCTCCCACAACCTGTTCAAACTGGGCCAAATCCCATCCTGGGTCACCTCCTCGCCGATCATATACTCGCTCAAGCTGGCCAAATGCGGGATCAAGATGCGGATGGAGGACTGGAAACCGAAGGAGACCTACTTCTACGACTACATCGACCTGTCGGAGAACCAAATCTCGGGCAGCCCGGCGGGGCTGCTGAACCGGACCGAGTTCCTGGTGGGCTTCGGGGCGGCGGGCAACAAGCTGAGGTTCGACATGGGGGCGCTGAGGATCCCGAAGACGATGAAACAGCTGGACGTCTCGAGGAACCTCGTGTACGGGCAGGTGCCGGAGGCGGTGTCGAGCTTGGAGAGCCTGAACGTGAGCTACAACCATCTGTGCGGGAAAATCCCCGACGCCGCCGGGAAGAAGTTCGCCGCCACGTCGTTCGCGGGGAACGACTGCCTGTGCGGTCCTCCCCTCGGTCCCTGCAAGGGTTAGAACTAGAAGATTGATGAAGAGAGACATCGCTCGGAGGATCGAGGAATTGGCTCGTTTCATGCGAAAGAATAACATAGTATAATGAGTCGAGTCAGTCGTGTGTTTAGCTTTGACTTGTCGTCTATTTGAATTTTGGATTTGACTCGACTATATATATATATATATATATATATATTTTATTTTATTTTTTGCTTTCTTTGGGATAAAATGGGAAAAGAATAATGACACTAATAATTTCTATTCAGAAATAAAACCATTCTATTCTCGAAAATAATTTCTATTCAGAAATGATTTTTTTTATTTCGTGCCCGAGAATAATTTCTAAGTATTTGAAGGTGTTTGATAACTGTCCAAAATTTTTATTCTTAGAATAGAAAAGAACAGAAATGCATTTGCTAACTGCACAAAATTTATTTTTATTAATAATATTTTGAATTTTTAAATTTTTTTTCTTTTTTTTTCCTTCTTCTTCTCCTTCCTTGGCCCTGGCCAGTCGTCGGTGGCCGACGGCCAGCCACAAGCTAGGAAGAAGAAGAAGAAAAAAAAAATTCTTTTCAATTTCTAATTCTTGTTCCCATAATCAATAAGCAACTTTTTTTTGCTTCTTGATTCTGTTCCAAAACTAATTCTAGGAACAAATTTTTGCAAATTTGTGCCCGGGAACAAAAAATTTATCAAACGGATTTCTGTTCTAAAACTGATTCTAGAAACAAAAGAAAAGAAATAGTTACTATTTGGCCGGTTGTCAAACGCGCCCTAATGATCCTTGGATTTTCGCCCAATATGCAATGCCCTTTCTCAACTTTAGTTCGATATGCAATGTCATCTCTAAACTTTTAATTTGTTTAATGTGGTCTCTAGACTTTTGATCTTTGAACTGTATGAAAATGTTCAATATTTTCCTTCCATCAATTCAAGTTTAGAGAAAATATTGAACATTTTCATACAATTCCAAGATTAAATTGAACATGTACCCAAAGTCCAAGAACCGTATTGAAAAAATTAAATGTTTAGAAAATAACATTGGACATTTGTTTAAAGTTCAGGTACCACAATGAATAAATTTAAAGTTCATTGATCACATTATACATTTAGTCAAAGTTTTATAGACCATTTATGCTATTTACCCAATGAAAAATCTATAGCTCGATAGTTCAAGGGTAGGTACAAACTTTATTTAGTCAATCTATGTTAGATAAGGTTTGGCCCCGCCGCGCATAGTCCATACAACTTTAAAAAACGATGAAAATTAACTTTATGGAACGGATGGCTCACTTGTTAGTGTTTTAGCAAATATCTAAAGTTTATTTTGATTCCTTTGAATCTCCGTCTTCTATTTTATTATGATTATTTGCTTGGATTATAATGATTGCTCATTAATTTTCGTATGGCTTTAGATTGAATTGAACCGATTATTTTCGCACGTGTTTTATGTTTCACTCAATATGAAAAATAAATCACATTTATTGGTTTATTTGTGATATTAGAAAATAGGGTAAAAAGCTAGTTTCAAATCAAGGGAACCGAACCAAATTGAGATCGAGTATATTGATTTTATACTCGAACAAAGCTCGAGCAAGGATTTCGGCACTCAGATCAAGCTCGTGTCCATTTTGGATAAAATGGAAAATCCCTGGCTCGATTGGTCCAAGAATACGTGCAAACTATCTAGCCAATCCATGTTAGATAAGGTTTGGCCCGCAAAGTCCCTACAATTTAAAAAACGATGAAAACGAACTTTACAGAAAACAAATCACATTCATTCATTCATTTATTTTTTTATACTAGAAAATAGGGTAGAGCTACTTTGAAATTAATGGAACCGAACCAAATCGAGCTCGAATATATCGATTTTATATCGAGTGAAGCTAGAGCGAGGATTTTGACACTGAGATCGGGCCTTGCTATGTAAATAAGTTTTGCTTATTATCATCCGCGTGGTAAAGCTAATTTGTAAATTAGTTTTGTCTTTGGTAGGTAAGGGCCCTTTTATAAGCTCATACTACGGGTTAACATCATAGATAAAGCTGATTCATACGCACATTTGAGTTGGGTGACTTGGGTCTTAGTGTGAATTCCTCTATGTAATGGAATATTATTGGTCAAAGAAGAAGGCACAAAGCGGCGTTGGTAGGGACGATTTGGTGATTGGTGACCGGAAATTTAAAACAAATTTCTTCACCATGGTCAAGCGGTCCAAATTAAGGAATTCAATGTACACATTGCTCTTTTTGCCTCTCCTACGAAGCACCATCAAAGAACTCTCATTGTATGCCTCCCCCTTTGGATACACCTTTACTCGGCTGGGTCCTTTCTCTATTGAACTGTACACCGAACAGCGCCGAACATCACATGGAGAGGGTGGTATTGAGCAGGGTCGCGACACGATTTCACAGCCCTCTCGATCCGGGGATGTCGATCCACTCCAGCCGCAGCTCGATCTCGCCGCTCTCGACGTTGCGCAGCCTCAGGACCATGTCCTGCACGACCTTGCTGCCGGCCCAGACGACGCGGCTCTCGCCGGCGAGGCAGTTCTGCCGGGTGGGCTGGACCCGGGTGATTATGGTCCCGCTCGGGAGCCCGTCCAGGCGCATCCGCAGCGCCTCCACGAAGGTCCCGAACTCGAACTCCGCGTCCCCCATCTTGTCGTCGAAGCTGAACCGATCCTTGTCATAGACAAACTGCAAAAGTTTTGCCATGGGACTGAAGTTAATTGAGCAGCTTTGATGGGGTCATCTGAATCAAACTTCGAAAGCTTACAGTACGAAGAGACGACGCGATCTCACCAGTTTAACGGGAAGGCTCGGATCAGCGATGGTCAGCGTAAGATCTTCGTTCCATTCTGGGTTCGTGTTCTTCCTCACGACCCGAGTCTTTAGTTTCTGCAGAAACCACACAGAGAGTTCTGATATCGACGACTTTCCACGGACGAGAGGGGGGTTGTGGTGAAGCCATAAACAGAGATCAAAGACAGAGAAGAAGAAGAGAGGAAAACGGAGTCTGGGATCCACGGAGCCCGGAGGCGAGCAAGAAGACGAGAACCTGTTTGCCGAGCCTGACGATAACGTAAGGATCGCTGCTCCTGAGGTCTCGGACGGCGAGGTTGACGCCTCGGTGGATGCGAATCCTGAGAAGACCCATCAGGTGTTCCATTGCCGAAGAAGAAGCAGCAGCAGCAGAAGAAAGAAGGCAGAAGACGGCCACCACGATGACGACAACGCGAGGACGACGACGACAATGCTCAGGAACGACAAAGGAAGGCGATCCTGTCTCTCTCCTTAGTGGGGAAGTAAACATCGGGCGAGCGTCTTATATGTACCATCACCATAAGCTATTTTCTCGCATTGGCTTTGCGCAGGAAAAGAGTGCGATTAAATTCTAGTATTGGCTTTCGACCCAAAAAAAAAAATTTCTGGTATTGGCGCATTTTTCTATTTCATCATTTCGCGTGGAAATTACCTCGGATCCAATAGGCTATTTTTTAAAAGCCGCGCTTTTGCGTGGCCCACCACTTTTATTACAAATCTATAAAAGTGGTCCTCTTTTTATGGTTAATATCACGAAAAACCCCAAACTAATATATTTATGATAAATTTACTCCAAACTAATTTTTTGACCACTAAAAACCTCAAACTGGTACATTTGTGACAATTTTATCCTCCGTTAAATCAGATTAATATTATGAAAAACCCCAAATTGGTACACCGATGACATACGGAGAATAAAACCCCAAACTGGTATACCTGTCAACTGCCACGTGTCACCCAACTCATAAATTTGACAATAAAATTTAATGGAAACTAACGAAGAGTAAAATTATCACAGGTGTATCAATTTGGGATTTTTGGTAGTTGAAAAATTAGTTTGGGTAAATTTGTCACAGATGTACCAGTTTGAAATTTTTTGTTCTATTAATCCTTTTTTCTATTTGGTCAACTCTTTTTATTTTGTTTCTTTTTTTTTTTTTGCTTATGAGTCTAACTTTCCTTCTTCTTTCTTTTCATGCATTTAACGTCTTCGGTTTTCGCTTTTGCAAATCGTCTTTATGTTTTTTTCTCTTACAAGCCATTCTCTTTTCTTTGGAGTTACCTATGATTTCATGAATTTGAGTTCATGTCAAAGACCTTGATCTTCCGAGTGAGAGGCTTCCAACATTTGCCTATGAAATCCTCCATGTTCGTTCCACCATTATAAGCATCCTCCTGATCTTCCTGCCAATATGCATTCCTAGTTTCATACTTTCTTTGCCATCGTGTGGGTTTGTAGTCCCCAATTTGGCTCCTCAAGAGCATCAACTTGTTGTTCACCTTCATCAGGAAAAGGCCGTGGTCCATCTTCACCCCACCGTTCCCACAGTCACAACCATAGCTCTGCCACTACGTTCCAGAGCTGAATTGGGTAGATTTGTACTTGCTTGAAGTGCCTCGTTTGGAGTTCAAGGATGTGCTCGACACTGTTGACTCCACCATCCACTAGTTGTCTAGCATGGCGGGCATGAGGACCGTGTTGTTGATATAATAGTTTTGGCCTAAGAACTCACCGACATGTCTAGCTCGTCGTCTCAAGACAATGTGGCTTGTTGGACGTATGTGTAGAGAACTTGATGACCCGAGGCGGACGATTCGTAGCCGACAACGATATGGAGGATGATCTTTTTGTGGGGCTTGTTGGGTTGCCAATGTATACTTACCTTGTCTTTGTGAATTCGATAGTTATTAGTGTGAATGCCTCTCAATGCCCTGCAAAAGAGTAAGGAGGCATAGAAAGAAGAAAATAATCTGCAAGAGAGAAATAGAGAGACCAATTTGCAAGAGCCGAGAACTGAGACTTGAAAGACGTGGAAAGAAAAAAGAAGAAGGAATGTAGGACCCACAAGGAAAAAAAGAAGAAACAAAATAAAAAGAGTTTTTTTATCAGTTTTTTAGAGTTAGGGAAAATTTCAATTTGGTACCAAAAGTGAGGTTATTTTCTCAAAAAGGGGTCCAAAGTGAATAAAGTGTCAAATAAGGGTCTGAAATGTCCAATCAGTCTCAAATAGGGGCCCGAAGTGCCCAATCAGTCTTAAATAGGGGCCCAAAGTGCCCAATTAGTCTCAAGTAAAGGCCTGTGTTCGCCGGCCGGTCAAATGCTCATTGGCCGGCAAGCACGTCACTATTCCGGCGAGGGCAATTTTGTCTTTTACTCTTTTTTTTCTCTTTTTCTTTTCCTTTTCTTCTTCTTCTTCTTTTTTTTTTTCTCTTTTCCCTCTGCCGGCCATAGCTAGGGCCGGCAGAGGTGGTTGGCGAGGGTCGGGCGAGGGTCGGGCGAGGGTCGAGCAAGGGTCGCCCGACGCCGGTGAGGGCCCGCCCTCACCTGGGCTGGGCGAGCGAGGGCGACCCTTGCCAGATCCGGCGAGGGCAACCCTCGCCCTTGCCAGATCCGGCGAGGGTCGCCCTCGCCTACCCAGCCCAGGCGAGGGCGGTCTTCGCCTAAGATCGACCACCTCCGCCGACCCCAGTTATGGCCGGCGGATGGAAAAGAGGAAAAAAAAAAGAAGAAGAAGAAGAAGAAAAGGAAAAGGAAAAGAGAGTAAAAGACGAAATTGCCCTAGCCGGAACGTACTTGCTGGTCGGTGAGTATTTGACCGACCGGCGAATCCAGGCCCTTCATTTAGACTGATTGGGCACTTCGGGCCCCTAGTTGAGACTAATTGGGCACTTCAAGCCCTTATTTGATACTTTGGACTCCTTTTTAAGAAAATAGCCCCACTTTGAGTACCAAATTGAAATTTTCCATAAAGAGTTATAATATAAGTAGTGGACCATAAAAGGGATAATATGATCAAAACATAAAAAAATTGAGTGTCTAAGCCAACGAAAGAAAGGAAAAAGCGCAACTCCTTTTTTAATTTGTTCCGAAAAAGTTTGATTAATTTTTAAGGTTGCATAGAACGCATCATCGCACCATTTACGACATCATGATTTATTATTGCAAAAGAAAAGTCAATCAAGTATTAATTATTGTGTTTACATTAAATAAGTCAAAATCTCGATTACTTGAAGTGCCTCAATTAGACGAAACCCGAATGACTAATCTTTTTATTAATTTGGATATTTGTGCATCAAAGATACACTTTCATGATTTATACAAAGAAAAAAAAACCATAAAAAATCTAAACAATGTTTACTGTGATACGTTTGCTCTAAATCTCTTTATTCATTGTGATACATTTACCATAATTTTTTTTACGGCATAAAAAACTCTGAACTTGTACATGTACAACACATTTACCCTAATTCAAAGTTTCGTCAAAATATTTTTATTTTTTAGCCAAAATGATGTCATTTTTATTTCATTTAAGTCACATAGGCGTCGTTTGCCTTCTATTGTCTATGTTGGTAGATTTTTAACGGTCGTCATTGACGGAACCTTAACGGAAGGGTAAATGTGTCACACAGATACAAATTTGGTCTTTTTCGCGCCACAAAAAAAAAGGATAAATGTGTTATTACACTGCACAGAGACCGGTCAACTTTGCAATGCCAAAAGTCTTTCATTATTCAAATTTATTTTTGGGAGAATTTTTTCGCATAATACATAAATTCAACAACAAATTAGCTTGGTTTCATCGAATCAAACAAAAATGTTCAGTCGATTTAGGAGCTCGTATGATTGATTCGACAGCAGATCACATCATGCGATGAAATGATTCGTAGAATCTGATCTATATGGATGCATCAGAATCAGTTAAGAGTTCGTTCTTAAAAACAATTACTTATATCGCTTACACAAATGAATGAACAAAAAATTATTTTTATTATTTACGAAAATATTTAAACATAAATTATTGCAATGATGAAAACATTTTTTATTAAATGATTATTGCAAATGATACAAACAATCATTTTTAAAAAATATTTTTCAAATTATTCATTTTTCACAAGACAAATGTAACCTAATTGAAAATATTTAGGGCTCGAATCACATTACATAGATAAATTAGGGATGACACAAATGGTCCACCAAACTCTTTCAGAGAAACAAATCCAGCCGTAATTTTATATCTCGTCCTCATAAAAACATGGGTTAATACCATGAAAAACCCTAAACTGGTATATCCGTGACAAATTTATCAAAAAACTAATTTTTTGACCACCCCAAACCCCAAACACTTGTGACAAATTTACCGTTCGTTAGTTTTCATTAAATTTTACAATCAAATTATCGAGTTGGATGATACGTAACAGTTGATGTGTGTACCAATTTGGGATTTTACCCCTCCGTCTATTGTATGTTTACCAATTTGTGATTTTTCGTGGTATTAATCCGATTTAATAGATGATAAATTCGTCACAAGTGTATCGATTTGGGGTTTTTGATGGTTATAAAATTACTTTAGAGTAAATTTGTCATAAATGTATCAGTTTGGGATTTTTGGTTGTCAAAAAATCAGCTTGAGGTGAATTTGTCGTATACCAGTTTGGGAGTTTTTTCGTGATATTAATCCTAAAAACATAGACGTGAATTTACGGTTCTGCCATCGTCTCTTCTCTTCCTCTTCGCCGATCGTCTGCGGCACCCGGCCGGTGAGCGGGCGAGCCATTCATCTCTCTCTTCATCGCTTCTCGCTCTGTGCCAGTAAGGAGGCCTTCGTCTTCCCCTGCGAAGCACCGGAGCCGGCGAATCCAATCCGAACCTCGGCGACTCCTCCGTACGATTTCACCCTCCGTCAGAGGAAAATGCGAAGAACGATGAGGAGGAGCTTGTCCCTGCTCTCCGGCGGGAGCGCCGGCCGCACCTGTTCGCCGTCGCTCTTCGCGCGGGGGACGGGCGAGGCACCGTGGGGCGCTCCCCTCCGCCGCCGCTTCTCCTCCACCGACGGCGGCGACGGCTCGAGGATGAAGATCTTCGACCGCGACCTCAAACGGAAGCACGTAATGCGAGCCCGATCAGAAATTGAATGATTTCTCGTTCGCCATTTTCTCGCTCAGTCACAGTTTCTTTCGTTTTCTTTTTTGGTTGGGAATGTTCGGCGTGGCAGCGTGATCGAGCTGCGTGGTTGATGCGCCCCGGTGATTGTTTCGTCGATTCCGTCGCGGAGAATTTGTTGGATCGCTTGGAGGTGGGTACTGCGTGGAGTGGATTCCAATTCGATTTGGGCAAGGAGAAGGATACGAGGGAGAGAGAATTCGTTCTTCAGTTTGCATTCAGTTTAGTTTTCTCGATTACTTTGCTTATGTTGCGGATGTGATCGCCTCTTGTAGGACTGCAAGAAGACATTTCCAACAGCATTGTGCTTGGGTGGTTCCTTGGAAGCTGTCAGGCGCTTGTTACGTGGTCGTGGTGAGTGTTCAATACCTGCGCTTGCTTTCTAATTCAATCTTTGCTTACCCGTTAGGTCAGCTTTAGCGCTTAAGAACGCCATGAGATTGTCATGTGTAGACATGAACTCGTGAGAATGAGATCCCACAGTTTAGGATGAACCTTTTCTTCGCAAATTGGGACGGCCAGTTTTTGTGAGTTCCTTGTGTTAGCCTGTTAGCTTGAGGTTATTAACATTCTTGGCCCACTATGATCAATTTGGTTAGAAGAACATATGAATCAAACAGGGCTGATGTTCATAATCTATATTGCTCTACTGTTGTGCATGTAGACAGAATGTTTTGGCCTATGGGTCGACAGACAACCTTTATCAAGACGAAATGGTCTTAGGTTCAATTCCCTTTTCCTCCCTCCACCAATTAGCCTGGACACTTGTGATTGCATGCGGTGTTACGAGAAATAACAGTTGAATGGTGGTTATGCTTAATGCCTTTGTTTGGATCTGAATGCAAACTGATTGCGGAAGTCCTCTCCAAATGTCTGAGCAAGGTGGTAGTATTATAGTAACAACATGCCTTTGCTGTCTATAGACTGATCACGGTAGCGGCCTTGTTCTTGATGAATAGATGGACATACAAATGAAGCCTGAAATGCCAGTTCATAATGTGAGCTTCAAACATATTGTGTCACAGTCTTGTAGTATTTTGATCCACTTTATATATGTCTGGGCAGAGAAAGGGGACTTTTGAGCGAGGGATACAGTGTGCAATTTTTTGTTTTGTGGGAAACAAATCCTTTAATACACATGCTTCTTCTTTTGTTTTTGGTGGAGCAGAAAGGATCTCTGCATGAGTTTGTCTTATCTTACCTTTACTGACATTCACTTTATCCTGCTGTTACTAACATCTTAGTACTCTTATTTTATGTATATCTTGTATACAGCTATGAACTAAGGATCCTTTTTCCTCATCAATTAACTGCTATTACAGTTTTCATGTTGGAGATAAGCATGCTTGAATGTATGAAAATCTATTAAGCTGCTCCATAATGATTTTATGAGCATTACTTTCGATTTTTGAGGAAGCTTGTTAGTTTATGTTAACATCCTTGACCAAGCAAACATCACATACCTGATAGACAAGCAAAAATTATCAATGTGTTGCAGACTTAGTAAATATTGTTTATGCTATTCATATAACATGATGAACATTATTCCTTTTCTGACAAAAGGTGGCATTCAAAAGCTCATTATGATGGATATGTCATGTGACATGATTCAACAGTGCAAAGAGCGGGAGCAAGATAAATCTGATAAGAACATTGAGACGCTGCATGTTGTTGGTGATGAAGAGTTTTTGCCTATGAAGGAAAGGTGTAGATCTGGGCATAAGTTCTATTACATTGTTTACTTGGCTGAGCAGTATTAATTGAATTCCTAATAGTCTGTCTTTTTGGACATAAAGTTCTCTAGATCTGGTTGTCAGTTGTTTGGGTCTACACTGGACAAATGATCTTCCTGGAGCGATGATTCAGGTATGGGTCTGCTTGTTCTTTGTCGTCATTAGTGCAATTTGATCGTGTAGTTCCTTGTTGGCGACAATATGGTGATGTCGGATAAAGGGAAAGAGCATATGGGCCTTCCAAAACATTCTGCTGTGGAGGAAGCTTCAAATTGGGTTAATTGTGCAAGTGGATTTTTGCGTTCTATTAAAAAGAGGCACCATAAAATTGATATCTCAGCATGCATTGCATACATAACGGGAAGTTACATCACAAAAGGGAGCAAAGTGACTTGCTTTGCTAATTTTCAGGCCAGAAAGTAGTTTCTTGGAGCTTAAGGTCAACTGTGTAATGCCCGCTGCCAAGTTCTCTCGATTTAAAAACTTCATCATTTCAGCATCAGACCTTGCCCTCGAATAGCTCAGACAAATAAACTGACCGAGTCTCCACCTCTTGTACGAGAATCTACAGCATGGATTGATTATCTGTAATCAGGTCTTAATTTCCTTCAGATTTCTATATTTCTCCTAGGAGAGTGAGAGTGAGTTTTCTTATCACTGATTAGGACTTATGATTATTTTGAGATTATCAAAGGAAGTTATGGCTCGTGACGAGGGTGATAGCAGTCCTTTATTTTTTGTCTCTTTATGCTGTTTAGAAAGTTCTTCTACAGATTTTTTTTTTATCTAGATCTCCTTGCTGATATATGGTAATGCATGACACTCTCTGTTCATTCGAAGCTCAGACAGTTGTTTTATTATTTTTTTTTTACAGTGTAAACTGGCATTGAAGGCTGATGGCCTCTTTCTAGCAGCTATTTTGGGTGGAGAAACCTTAAAGTTGTCGAATTTTCTCTTATATATATTTATCTCATTTTTACCTTAAGGCTTGCATTTCTGATTGATTTTATTTGTTTTCTTATTCTTGTCATAAGGGAACTGAGAATTGCATGCACTATAGCACAAATGGAACGTGAAGGAGGCATCAGTCCAAGATTATCTCCTCTGGCACAAGTATTCTTCAAATCACTCTTGCCTGCAGTCTGTACTCACAAAGTTATAATTCCTTTATGGAGATGTAGTCTTGCATGCCTGCTTCACATAATGGGGTTGTGCTTAACTGACTTTGGGTAGATGTACTTGTGATAATGAAGTCTCGAGTCCTATATCCTTTGTGATTGCTGTTTCTGACTTCAGTGAATCTTTCTTCCATATCCAAGATCAGTTAAACATATGACTCATGATCCTATAATTGATGGTTATCGCATTTTCCCTTACTTAGCAACAGTTATTGGCGTGTTTCAGGTGCGAGATGCTGGTAATTTGTTGACTAGAGCAGGTTTCTCCCTTCCAGGTGTCGACGTGGATGAATATGTAGTGAGATATAAAAGTGGTGAGCTCTGGTTTTGATGCTTGTTCTTGTTATTTATATGTTCTCTGTCATTGTGAAATTGACAGCTTAACTATGAAAGTTCTGCTTTGACTTCTTTGTGACTGCTAGTGTATAACTCACTCCCTCACTGTTGAGAAATAAAATATAACGAGAAATGCTGAATCTTTAGGGCGAATGATTAATATCTGAGAAAAAGCTGTTGTTGAAAATTTTGCAATGCCTCTATTCGTCCTTTCTCCCTAGTTTTCCTTAACAGGTCTATTTCATGCTCTTGCACAAAGTGCTGTGTAGCCCTACATGTTTTATCAGAAAATGAGAGAATTCATCATATAAGGGAGACAAGTCAAGGTGGTACTTACATTTCTTTCTATTGGAGGAAATCTAGGAATAGTAAGCAACAGATGAGGATAGGCCAAGTAGGTCCTGATTCGTTTGCATAAGCTGCATTTGAGCATCCTAGTTGCAAACCACTGACTCAGTTGCCGATAAATCCTGTTTTCTGTTGTTCTTTGTGGTCAGGAAATTTTGGGGCATCTTCTTCAGTTAAGATATGCTACTTGGTGCATGTTAATTCAAAGGCCTTAAGAATTTAGGTCTCAATTCGATCGTCTCATTGCCTAGAGTTTGACTCATATGACAAGAATGTTAAATCATGTTACCTACTCTCTTTCCTTTTTCTTCCATTATGCTTTATATATGTATTGTCTTGTTAAACTACTCCGTGATTCTTGGCTTTGTAATTACAGCTATCAGTGTCAATACATGCGGTATTTATGTCGTTCTTTTTTCCTCTGTTTCCTGGTATAGCTTTTGAGCTGATAGAACATCTCAGGGCAATGGGCGAGACTAATGCTCTTCTACAAAGGATTCCTGTAAGACTACCTTATATGTCGTGAATGTTCTTCCCTCACTCATTGTTTCCTTTGGGTTGTTACAATAGCAAACTCCGGTGTACCCAATAAAATTAACCATAACTTTGTTCGTTCATAAAACCAGATTCTAAAAAGGGAAACAGCTCTGGCAACTGCAGCAATCTATGAGTCGATGTTTGCTGCTGAAGACGGTACCATCCCTGCAACTTTCCAGGTAGCCAGAGTATTCACATTTTGCTGTAGATTCTCGTCTTTGGTTTTACTCCTCTGCTTTTAGTTTTCAAAGTGGAAACTTTACTGAGAATAATCATATGTTACCACCTTGAAGAGCTGTTTAATATTGAAGTCTATTGAGGAGAAGTGTAGTGTATCGGGATGAGAACGTTTCATATACTCGATGCTAATCCTGAGAACGTTTCCCTTCCCCAGTGATTATGGATCTATCAAATTCAGTTGCTAGGCATCTTCCTTCTCGTCATCTGGATTTCAAATTATACTTGTTTCGTAGGTAATCTATATGACGGGATGGAAGGAGCATCCATCTCAGCCAAAAGCCAAACAAAGGGGATCTGCGACCATATCCTTCATGGACATCCAGAAGCAGTTTGGGGATGGAAGTTAATCACTCCCTATTTCGAAAGATTGAAAATTTACCTTTGTCAGGTGTCCAGTGCCTGAAAGTTTGGACGGTCTTGCCGGAAAGAGAAGGTGTGACTTCCCATCCAAGAACCTCGGACTAGTGCTTTCTTGGATGTATTTGTCATTGATAGGGGATAGATAGGATGAAGAAGGAATACAAGATCCATCGTGTTTGCCGCGTGAGAGTATTCATGTAAAGATGCGGTTTGCGTCCGAGGATCCAATGCGGAAGGATCCCCTGAAAACTCTCCAAAATCAGGTCTGCGGATAGACTGCACTTTTTGCACAGCACTGCTGTCCAGTAGAATAACCACGTGGGGTAGCAACTCTCCTCGTCTTTTCAAGTGCTAGAATTTTTCATTTGGTTCCCGCCAAGTCTCTCTTCTTTACGTTATCGGCACAACTTGGATGGTTTTAGAGGCCTTGCAGTTTCTGCACAATTCCATATCTGTAATAAAGCACCAGATGGACAGCTATGTTGCAAGCATAGAAGCATAACGTCGAATATCGAGTGCCTGTAGCATGCAAGAATCGAATTCATGTTCTCAAGACTCTCTAGAATCGAATTTCGAAATGAATTTTTTGCGCGGCAATCTTAAGGAAATAATTTCATGTTGTTCTAAGATCGTGGCATCGATATTAGACCCTAAGAGCAAGGTCGTGTGCAGGGTCGCGCCCAATTTAGCTGAAGTTATACTTTCGAATGGCGACTGCATTCCGTGGTCAGGTCTTATTTGGACATCAACCGCACCACATCGTGCTTCAAGTATATCCACATCGAGGCTAATCGCTCCAAATTGTTTCGCACGACTCTTCTAATATTTTATGACGTTGTAGAGAATTCAAAAACAAGCGGCAGATCTATAAACTCTGCGCAGAAACCATTTAATTTAAATACAATTAGAATATCTTAGATTTTATTTTAATTTTTTTTGAAAAAGATTAGAAAATAGCGAGATTATTTTGAGTGTAAAATTGCGCAATTTACACGCGCGCAAACGCATCCACTTCTTTGAATCGCAGAGACACACTTCGTCGCTCCTTCGGCATTCATGCAAACACAGAAGCGAACGAGAACTCTCTCTCCCTCTCTCTCGCTCTCCCTCTCGCTCTCGCGGATGGAGAACACTGTCGCTCGCGGCGAACGATATCCGGCGCCTCTCTTTCCATCGAATGCCGCGTCGAGTTCAGGTGATCCCCCCCCTGCTTTCGCTACTGGTACCGCTTCGAATCTCGCCTGGACGATCGAGAACGATCGCAAGCGCCTTCGAAAAAGCCTGCGATGCGGTACCTATTCCGGCGCGCCCTGACGATGTTCCTCCGTAATCCATCCGCTGTTGTTTCGGATTCGTCATTTTTAGTCGCGTAGAGGTGCGCCGCTGAACAAGTTACTGATCGGAGCATCGGAGGAGGACGGATGATCCGACCGGTCGCAGGAAATGTAGCTCGATTGCCTTAGAAACAGGGGCAACATGCAGGAAATAGCAGAGCTGTCGTGGCGAAATGTTAGTCGGCTGTTTCGGCTTCCGTCGCTCGAAATCCGTGTCTTAGTTCGACACTCTTCTCGTTGTGTCTCGGGACGTTTCGGTAGTTTTCAGTCTGTGACAAGTGATGAGATCGCCGTAATCGATCTCGAATCAGTTTGTCTGCTTCTATTCCTCCAACCATGCGATGTTGGGAGAAGTTCAAGAAGCTTGTGATGATGGCTTGGGCTAATTGGCAAGCGATATGCATCTTCTCTAGCTATAGCGACTTTCTGTAGAGTCTCGACTAGAGATGATCTGTGATATGATTTTTTTCCATATTCGTTTAGGAGTATGAGTCTTGGATAAAGTCCTTTTCTGCATTATGTTCACATGGTCTGGGTTAAAATTTCGGTTGATGGTTATTCCTATTGCCATGGCAAGCGTTTGCTTGGCGAATCATTGTGCTGAACAGCCTGAGATGAGCATAGCCTTATGTGCTTGCAGGTGGTGCAGGGGTTTGTATGATGAAAACTACCTGGAGGAATGGACAAGACGAGTCTTTTATCTATTTCATCTCCTCCTTTCTCAGTTCGAATTCTTTCCGCCTTAACTTTGTCCCCATCGACCCGGTAATTCAGCCGCTGCATCCATAATTATTCCTAAGCCGTGTTGCTCAATTTTGTGGATGTGCTCTTTGCAGGACTTTATTTTTAACTGTGGGGGTCTGTCTGTGGCTTTTGTCTTTATTACAACTTGGGAGTGCAACCTCATTCCTTATATGTTCAGCAGGTTGGTTGGCTACTTTATTTCAGGTTTCTTGCTCTATATGATGCTTGATTTGATTTTTGGATTAGGATTCAGAAGCTGAAGGAGCAATTTGCACATTTTTATGTCGTCGTCACTCTCCAAACAAAGGAGCAAAATGATTCTTTCGTCCACTCTTACTTCAAGTAAGTGTTACATTCATATGCATCTCACTTGTGGCAGTGGATGTTAGTAAAGATCTCCGATCTTTGGTTATGGCAAAGATTTGGAATGGAGCTTGGCAGGCCAACATTCGTTCCTGTTCCTGACATAGAGATGGGCTTTGAAAAGATTGTCAAGATAGCTCTCTCCCTTGGGGGTACACCTATTTCCCAATGGCTATAGTTGATAAATCTATGCAGCACATATCCAAAGTTAATTGCCATATGAATTGCAGTCAGCAAGCAGCAGCATGCCGTATGGAAATTGAAGGCCGAGGTTAGTTGACCTCAGTTCGGTGACTATTTAGGTGTCTTCTTGGTTTCTGGAAGCTAGTTCTCTGTTGCATTTAATATGATTCCCCCGTTTATCACCTTCAAGAGGATGCGATCAATGCAAAGGATGGATCTCTTTATTGGAATCGTCACATCCATACCCGGCATCGACAATCATGATGCTAATTCGGTAATTTTACCAAGTTCACGGCAACTTACTACTTGAATTTTTTGCTATCCAATCTTTTCAATGCATCTAGGACTCATTTTTTGGTTCCTTCCACAATAAGCTGCCTTATGGAACCTGGGAAAATCTGATTTGCTCTAGGAAGAAAACAAGAATGCCCATTGCTCGTGAGCTTTCAATAGCGGCACCTCAGTTAACTGCCAATTTTTCTTCACTGCAAAAAAAAATTGTCTTATCAGGTTGGCGATTTGTTGAACTAACTAAAGGGGTAAACTTGGAACCATTGTATGAATTTTTGCTTTCTGCATCTTTTCCATGGCATCTTGTGCATCCTTATTCCATTATGGAACTGGTCTGCAATGTTTCCGTTACATTGTTATGGTTTTCATTCCGTTGCTAAGTCTATTTTCTGTAGTATTGCAAGGTCTTAATCAACAGAATACTGTGTACAGCAAATATTGTCTTTCCAGTTAGTAATCCACGTAGGTAATAGCAATCACTTCCAGATTTTATTTAGCTATGTGAAAATTTGCATGGACTTAAAAGGGATTTTGCTCTCTGCGGTAATCTCTGTATAAAGATTCCAAGATAGACTAACGATGTGTATTAGAAACTATATTTCTCTCAGAAAATTCATTAGCTTCGTGCATGTAGATTGTACGGTGATGTAATATTATCAATATCCTCCTCTTAACAGTCAGATTGTGTTCAGAGACAGGCAGTAGCCATAATATTTTATCTGAAATTAATTGTAGATATTGCACTTGGAGTTGGATGGTCAACATCACATTTTTTTCCTCATGCTTTTTTGACTAATTCCTGATTTTCTCATATTCAGCTTAATCAAGCTATTGGTTCCATTGAAGCAATTGCTAAGGCATCAAAGGAAGACATTTTGGAGAAAACTGACCTTTCAGCACAGAAGGCAGACATCATCAGAAGGTTTTTCAGAGATCCCAAGTTTTACCTCAGTCCCAAGCTGAGTTGATGCGAGGATTGTTATCACACCGGATGGCTCTATTTGCTCACCGGCTTAATGTGTTTAGCCACAAAGTATCTGTATCTCTACTAACCAGACAAATGCTGAAGCGCATTTTGGAGTGAACATGCCGTGATAGGATTTTTGAATGATTAACACGTGATATCTTTTCAAACCATCTTCTAGTCTTCCTCGATCCCTTTTGACAGCAGAACTTCATCCTTGTTTCCTACTGTCCCTGATCAAGGGAAGCAGTTACAGTTCAATAGCTTTGATGGTTCAACAAGAACTGTAGGTTCGACATGAACTTGTTTCCTCATATTCCATTCAATTTCGCTTTTCGTTCCATGTTGACTAATTTGCCTCGCGGACCTTAGTACTAACAAAGAATTCTGTTTTCCTTGGCTTGCTTTTAACAGCGAATCTCAAGTTAGATTTCTGACGTGCTGTGCTGTTTGGCTGCGGGCTCTATTATTAAATCGTAAGTTCCAGGCCTAGAGGAGTTAGTGTTTAGTCACTACAGTAGTCAGCAAAGTATAAGCAACCGGAGAATTAAATTGGTGTTTAAGAGAGAGATTGTAACAGTCCGAATATACTAAACTCGCACTCGTCATAATCCAAAGTTGTTGATTCCATCAATGTACATAGGTAAGTACTCAAGATTCACAACATGAGTAGCGCTTTGTCAAGGGTGTTATTCGGTTCTCATTCATATGCACACATCGAGTTCGAGCCGGCATGTGAACGCGTGTGATGTCGTTCGACATTCTCGGATATCACATTGGACAAGCGCACTTCTATCACACAACTTACCTGATATGATTATAAAAGAAGAGTAATATAATGATTTCCATTAAACAAGTTGAATGAGAAGGTGCTCGCGGTTGTTTCCCAGTCTTTTGTCCGGCGGCGCAAGCTCAAGAGAAAGACACGTTGGCAGAAGGCTTGCTTCTAAGGGTGCGAATGGTAACCATTCTGCTCCAGAAATCAAATTCTTGCCAGAAATTGATTTCTGGAATTTTTGCCAGAAATTGATTTCTAGAGGAGAAATCTGTTTGGTAAAACATGACTAATTCTGCTCCAGAAATTGATTTCTGGAACAGAAATCTGTTTTGATTTGTTGATTTTTTTTGCACCTAAAAAAATTTAAATTTTACTCAAAGTGGGTGGCCACATGTATTATAAGCCATTCTGTAAAGTTTTGAAATTTTTTATTTTTTTTTATTTTTTTTTTGCACCTAAAAATATTTAAATTTCACTCAAAGTGGATGGCCACAGGTATTCTAAGCCATTTTGTGAAGTTTTGAATTTTTTTATTTTTTTATTTTTTGGGCACCTCAAAAAATTTAAATTTTACTCAAAGTGGGTGGCTACAGATATTCTAAGCCATTCTGTGAAGTTTTGAAATTATTTATTTATTTTTTAATTTTTTGGGCACCTCAAAAAAATTAAATTTCACTCAAAGTGGGTGGCCACAGGTATTTTAAGCCATTTTGTGAAGTTTTGAAAATTTTTATTTTATTATTATTTTTCTTTTTTTTTGGCACCTCAAAAAATTTAAATTTCACTCAAAGTAGGTGGCCACAGGTATTTTAAGCCATTTTGTGTGAAGTTTTGAAATTTTTGATTTTTTTTGGGCACCTCAAAAAATTTAAATTTCACTCAAAGTGGGTGGCCACATGTATTTTAATCTATTCTGTGAAGTTTTGAAATTTTTGATTTTTTTTTTAAAAAATTCACCAAATTTCATATTTTCCCGAAATCTAACTTTTTTTTATTTTCTAGAAATTTTTATGAATTTTTCTAGAATTTTTCAATTTTTATGCATTTTCTGAAAAAAAAAATTTATGAGAAAATAGGGAGAATGCATTCCGGAATCAAGAAGCTACAAAAACTAGCTTCTTTTTTTTGGCCCAAAACACATTCTGGAAGCAAAAACTCATTCTGGAACCAAAAAAAGAATGTATTTTTACCAAAGCGTGTTTTTGCTCCAGAATGCAAAAATTCCTCCGAAATGCATTCCGGAAATTTTTTAACAAACGCATTTCTGTTCCGGAATGCATTCTGGAGCAGAAATTTTGCTCCAGAATGGATTCCATGCGCGCCCAAAGCAATCGCAAATCACTCTCTCTCTCTCTCGATGCAAACACTGAGTGAGTGGTCGTTGAGACGTCAGATCCAGGCATGGACAAAAGCAAGCGACTCCCATCGCCGTTCTTCCATTTTCCATGTCGCCACTCGTGCGGCACGGGCGTCCAGCTTTCCTGTCTCCTACCCATCCTCAGCGCCGCTGCACCGAGGAAGTAATTATTGTCGGAGACGATGAGTGGTCCTTCGCGGTTGCCGCTGGTGCCACCGCCGCTTCTTCTTGTTCTTCTTCTGCTACTGTGTCCGACGGATGCGTCTGCAGATGGGTATCTCGTATCAGCAGTCGGAGACCCTGGGATGCAGAGCCCCAACGTCAGGGTCGGCTTCGAAGCTTGGAACTTCTGTAACGAAGTGGGCGCGGAGGCTCCCTCCATGCCCAGTCCCCGGCTCGCCGACTGCTCCGACTTGCTCTGCCCTTCCTTCCCCGGTTCGCCATTTCACTCTCCCTTCTCTTCTCATTCAAGTAATGTCACTCCAAAGATATTTCGTGTCGCATGGGATATGATGATCCTCGCCCCGGACTCGTGAACCGCGATCTCTGAAATACCCTCATGTCTTTTTCAAGCAAGAATTCGGGTTGTCATCCTTCTCTGTCGTCTTGAGATGGATCTTGACTGCGAATGATATTGCATGTGCATGAAGTGGCTCTTCTAGATCAGGAAAGGCATGCGCTTTCACTTTTGCACTCCCCATCTGCATGCTCAGTGTTTCACTTTTGATGTCTCTTGATGATGATGCTTCTGTAGTGTTGATTGGAATTGTTTGGATTCACTGGATCTGTTAGGTTTAAGTTTAACCCCTTCTGATGATGGGAGCGAATGCGTGGTCCATCAAAAGGTGAAGGAATCGGACAACAATTTGAGGGCCGGTGATGCATTTCGTCTGGAGGGTTTTCAGCCATACGAAGATCCGGATTTGTATGCTGCTGAGAAAGAACGGTACCTCGGTTCTCTCTGTGAGACGAATGATGCTGCGGAGCCATGGCAATTCTGGATGGTCATGCTCAAGAATGGTAATTTCGATAAGAACACCACGCTCTGTCCCGAGAACGGGAAGAAAGTTAGCAAAATAGTGACCGATAGGAGCTTTCCCTGTTTTGGCAGCGGCTGCATGAATCAGCCCTTGGTGTACCATAATCGATCGAGATTGTTTTATCCTGATGGCAAAATCGCATCTTTGACTGGAGGATTTTATGGGACATACGACCTCGATGCTGATTTGAGCAAAGACGATGGAAACAACTCGTACTTTTCGGTCTCATGGCAGAAGAATATGAGCTCCGGAAGTTGGATTTTTTCTCAAATATTGAGGACAACTACCAAGTATCCTTGGCTTATGTTGTATCTACGGGCAGATGCAACAAATGGATTTAATGGTGGTTATCATTACCCTGGTCGGGGAATCATGCGAAAGGTTCATTCATTATTACAGTGAAGTTTTCTCTTTGCATTTTGTTGAATCTATAAAGTTTTCGGAGAATTTCAACTGATGTTTAACCATGGGTAGAAGGAATCCGCAAATGGGTCAATAGAGAGACCAAGGCCTTTTCCCCATTCTACTCAGCATAGGCTGAATGGAAAGTTCCTTTTCATTTGTATCATTTGGCAAGTTAGTGAAGCGTACTTGACTGAATTGGAATGCAGTTGTCCATATCCACAATGGACAATGCAATGGAATTTGTGAAGCTAAGCCGTAGTTTCTTTTTTCTATCTCTTCCCATCTTTCTGAGCCAGTCAGTCGATCCATTGTTGATGGGGACTAGGAGGTTGTGTTTTTTCACTTTCTGTACCCATGTGAAATTGTTTCAACTTCGGACTAGGGCAGAAGTGGATTTTCTTTTGGTTCTTGTGGAGCTAAGCAGGGTATGCGTTTTGGTCTGCAAACATATAGTTCCAGGCACTTTTTCCATGTATCTTCGCACCAATGCATAGTTACTCATGTCAAATAAGCACGTCATTGTTGCATTAAAGTCATCTCCAGCACTTGACTATGTTGGACTAGGCAGTACATAAAGGGCAAAAGGAAACAACGAGATCAAATAGTCAAAGCAGAAAAATCAGTATGCACCAAATTTCTGCTCTTTGAATCAGAATCTATATGTTTTGGGGGATGAAAAGAGATCCCAATGGATATAGCCATATCATTGATTTTGCTTGTTTAAAATTTGTGTTGTGTGATCTGATTCCTGGAAGTGACATTTTTGTTTGTGATTTTTTAGTTGCCAGAATCTCCAAACTTCAAAGTAAGATTGTCTCTTAATGTGAAACGGGGCGGAGGGCCTAATAGCCAATTCTATCTACTCGATATAGGAAGCTGTTGGAAGAATAGCGGGGATCCATGTGATGGCGATGTCCTCACAGATGTGACTAGATACAGTGAGATGATAATCAATCCAGAAACTACCAGCTGGTGCAGACCAGATAACCTTGTCTCTTGTCCTCCTTACCATGTCAGTGTTTCTGGTGAGATCATATATAGGAACGAGACGTCTCAGTTCCCCTATGCTGCTTATCATCTATATTGTGGCCCTGGGAACGCCAATCATTTGGATAAACCATATGATATCTGTGACCCTTATAGCAATCCACAAGCACAGGAACTTGTTCAACTTCTCCCACATGTTGAATGGGCTATCCATGGATATCCTGAAAAGCAAGGTGACGGATGGGTTGGAGATTCTAGGACGTGGGAACTTGATGTTGGAGCTCTGTCCAGTCGTCTGTACTTTTACCAGGTCGGTTGCACTCTTCTGTCATTTTGTGATAATCATAATTTCTGTGCTGTATGTAGCGGTGTTAATTTGCCAGGTTAATGGTTGATATGCTGACTCTGGTCATTATGTGCCTATGGGCATACTTTTATAGGGCCCGCTTGGTTTAATTTTGCAAATGAGCCTTGGGGGAATGCAATATCTTTAGCTTAAAGCGTTAATTTTTTTTTTTGCAAAGGGCTTTGAGACCCTTTTTTATTAAATAAAAAAAAAAATTGCCCTTTGCCGAAGTCGGCGAGCCAGATCTGGCGCTGGCGGCC